ATACGTTGACACTATGCACATGCATGTGTACATATACATGTACATACATTGTATCTGTGTAATTTCATCAGCTGTTCATTTGTTTCTAACATTAATGAGAAAGTAATTCCTGCTTTCTTTTTCTTTTTACAAACGGAAATTGTATATTGAATTGCCTAATGCTTACATTTAAACCTACCCAGTACCCCCCCCCCCCAATAGATGAAACTGCAACACTGTCTTGACATTCCATCGAGATAGCATCAGAGATCTTGTTCAGTTTCACTGCATTTGCGAGCGGCCGCTGATATTCTTCAACATTTCCGGTGACGTGAGTCCTGTTAGATTCCTCTGATAATGATCTTGCTGAATGTGATCCGCCGGAAGGACACAAGAACTAATGTTGAAATCTTCACCTGTAGGTTTTTGCAATCCCGGCAGCTGTGTATAGTTTCATTTATGGGCTTGTGAGCAAATGACACATGGCTCCTGGCACTGAAACCTGTCTTCTCAGTTTAATGTTGTTTGTCAAGCCAAGCAATGGAGGTACATTTACCGGTAGTAATCATTAGTTTTGTCACAGTCATGTCCGCCACATTGGTTGTACTTTCAATCATAGATGTATTTTTTTCCTTTTCACTTTTGATGAATTTTCTTTCAAGAAGGAAGAATGTTAAAAAAAAAGTTACTTTTGACACAAACACAAAAGGACCGAAAAATCAACCAACTAAAACTTCTGTCATGATTATGCAAAAATTTTGGTCACTCTGTTGAATTAAAAGCCTTTATAATAATTAAGAATAATGTGTATGTGGCGCTTATGTAGCGCTTTCCACCGAAGCTACAATGTAGGTCTCAAAGTGCTTCATAGTTATTACCCCTGTTCATCAGGCCATGAGACCACTTTGCTGCAGCCTAGATCAGCGCAATCTGGTCTCTACCCTCACAGGTACCCATTTATACTCCTTGGTGGAGAGAGGCAATTGTAGTAAAGTGTCTCGCCCAAGGACACAAGCACCATGTTCCCTGTCAGGCATGTGTACATCTGTGTACGTACCATGGCACACGGGTCAAACATCTTAACTACTGGACCATGGCGCTCCAAAATGTATGCACGGCCACTTCATAGGCTTGAGCAATATGATTTACCTGTAAGGTTGCATGGTGCATCTTAAAGGTATGGTCCATCATTTGTAACTTGTGCATTTTGTTTGTGTGACGCAACAAAAGTGCTCAAGATCTAAGGAAGGGTGCTGAACAACTAACCTGATGAAGCTTCATGCTCAGCTTCAGCTGTATATTTCGAGAAAAACAACATTCTAGGATTTGATTTCCAATCAAAAGTTGCTGAATCATGTTTTAAATTGGGCCTGAATTCAGCGTCTGATACACGTTCTCACTGAGCTGATTGCAGCTACGCGATGTCACGCACTGATCCGACGAATTTTAGCAACCGCGCGCGCGTGCGCGTCGTGCTAATGCTTGCGCGCGCTTCGCCGAATAACAAAACAAGCTGCTAATTTGAATTTCCTACGGCGCTTCTTAAGAAGCACCGTTGGAAAGGCCTGCTTTTGTTGATTTCTTCAAAATGACAGCTTGCCAGAAGGAATAATTTCACAGGGAGTTTAGTCCCCTTACTACCTTTCAACCAAGGATGTTTTTCAACAATAATTACGCCAGTTACTTTTTGGATAGCTGCAAATGATGGACTCTGGCTTTAATAAGGCTGTCAAATTTCTAGTTCTCCCCATTCTCCCAGTAGGCCTATGTCTCTGCCCGCATACTCAGCAACATTCCCTATAATTAGGAGACACACCCTTAATTGGAGCAGTAGCCTTTGTCAGACTAGCATAGCTCATTACAATTCTCCAATCATTATCAACTAATGGCATACATGGTTTTGAGGGCAATGAATGGGACAGAGTATAAAAATGCAGGTACCGGTAGCAAGTCTTGTATGTTGGTATTGGCATGTTGTTAAATGTACTACTACAACATTTTCAAAAATCAAAATGCAAAACTACCAAATATTATGAAATACCTTACTTGACTGTAAGTGAATAATAGTCTTAAGCATTCTGCGACATCATGGCACCTGGTGTGCTGTCATTTTGAAGAAAAGTGGAATTTTTGTATCAATTTCCAACGACTGACTTTTTCCAAATACTGCCCACAATTTATCAAATTTAGTTAGTCCGCATTTTGTTTGTAATCGATTACACATCCGTGAACGGGTGCAAGCCAGCTAGTCTGGTTCCCCGACCTGACAATTGCCCGACGTCTGTAAATTGCTCCGTTTCATCTGAAGTAGGGTCAGGGAACCAGACTACAAGAGCAGCAATTTTTCTTTGTTTTTCCGGCATCCATGAACTTAAAACTTTAAACAAGTCAAACAATATGTGCTATAAAATACTAACCCCCAAATCCATCCATTTCTGAAAATTACAGCAAAAGCAAATGCTGTAATTTGCCCCTATTTTGGATTTTAGATGAGAGTTGCTCTTACGAGTGGCCTTTTTTTTCAGGTTTTAAAATTGGGGGTTTTGCGGGAAGTGGTTTGTTTGGAGACTGTATTCAGCATTTGTAAACAAAGTTGTTTCCAGGAAGGTTGTGGCTTCTAGAAAAAAAATATTAAAGATTTTTAACCTTTACTTTATTTAAAATGCTCCATATCTTCCACCCACACCCACCTAATGCCACTTCCCATCGCCCACTACTGAAGGAGAATTTCTGAATATCTTGTTGGCCATCAAACTGAAACAAATTGAAAGCGAAAAGTAAATGTTTTCTTGCCTTCTTGATATAAAGTGGCCGAAGCCTTTTAAACAAAATTTCCTCATTCTGCTATTCATCATTAGCTTAGCGGGACATTGATTGGATTTGTGCATTCGTAAAGACCATAAGTCATGATCCACACAAAGGGCTTTTCACTATGACAGCGCATTCAATCTTGAGATTGCACGTCCCTCCTCACTCGACAAGCCCCTTTGGTAATTACTGGCAGTATGGAGTTACAGCCAGTGCAAAATGACATGTGAGAGGATCAGTAAATTGGTTTAGCGTCTTTAGAGTCTGGGTAATGAGATACTGCCGTGGTGATGAGCGAAGACAGTCGACAATCTTCAACTGCTAAATGGATGTGAAATGTGAAGCTGGAATCCTTTCCCGTCTCTTTGGTTTGTCATTTGGAGAGTGAATCCTTGAATGAAGTGGTCAAATCATAAAATTATAAAGATTTGGCATCACAAAAAAGTGAAAATTATTGTATTATTTGATTTTCTTTTTTGTGTGTCATCTCCCTTGAAATATTTCCTGAACCCAATCCGTGTATATTCTAGACACCGTACTGACTAAAAAAGTAAATAAAAAAATCCCATCGCTAAAAGAAACAAATGTGTCTTGGTCATGGCTCGGATTTGAAACAGAAATCAACCTCAGCTGGATCTTGTTGGGTGGAGCAGGGTTAATGGTAAAAGATATCACTGTGAAATATATTTTTAATCCATTTTATCCATATATTTTTATTCCAAGACTGAAGTTGGATTTATTGTTTAAACCCTCCTGCTGTGTGAACAGTCACAGACAGTCAAAAAATAACCATCTCCTTCCCTGTCATGCCTATCACTCAGGCTAGTCACCAACAGTCAGATCATATTTCAAGCAAGCACTGTGACTAGTCAAATTCAGTCAGACAAAAGCAGGCAAGTTGTGGGTACAGCTGGCTTATATCAATCACCTACAGTCAAAGCATAGCTATATCAAGTTACATAAACACTCACAGCCAGTCAATCCTGGGTTTTTTTGGTAGGCTGAGATATATCTCTGAACTGTTGAAAACAGTCACTTGATTGATTTTGACTGAAAGGACAACTTGGTACAGAATGTGTGTTTGCATAGGAGGGTTTATAATGAAACCGATCCTTGGCAAGCGCAGTACCAAAATGGACTCATCTTGTTGATACTGCCCTCTACTTCCGCCGTGACTTGACCACACTTGCTAGGAACTGGCTGCATTTTAGAGGGAAAAAACCAGATACTCTAATTCCAAGACTAGGAGAAAAGCAAAGGTCACCCCGTTATCTGATCCTTGAACTGAGACTAGTTGAAATTGACAGCAAGGTGTGGCTGAGATTGATTGCAGAGCGTCACCTGCATTCCAGCAAGATGATGTTGAAGTTCCATTCCAAAAGGGCTCAGCTGGGTTGATATTCCTCTATATGTTACAGTTGCTATGGAATATATATTTTTTAAAGTACAGGGTGGGTATTAAAAAAAAACAACGAAACCCAACTGTCGTGTTTTTGTGAAGTTCTGCATGTAGCACTTTCAAAACCACCGTTTTAAAGTTCTGTCCATGGATCACAAAAAAAGGTCTTCATTCTTTCAGCAAAACGAAAACAAATGACATAGGGATGTGTGTGAATTGTTTTCATTTTGCTTAAAGAATGAAGACCTTTTTTTGTGATCCATGGACAGAACTTTAAAACGGTGGTTGTATTTAAAATTCAGTAACTTGAAAAGTACATGAGTGATTTGAATTATTCTTGTAGTAAAAGAAAGCTTATGAATTGTGCTTTCATATCCTAGATTTTGAAAGTGCTACACGCAGAACTTCACTAAAACAATAGTCCCAACATTTTTTTTTTTGGACTCACCCTGTATAATTTGTGTGAGCTGCTTGCTTTTCACGAAAATTTCACTTTGAAATTTGTCATCATTCTTTATGTTTTGATCACAAAACAGTGTGTCATCAGTAATTGTCAATTTTGATAAATGTATATTTTCATTTAATGAAGAAGAATAGATGTAATATAGACGAAATTCAATTTTCATTAAGTTTAAGAAGAATGAATGAAGTGTTTTCTTTGTGAAATTATTTGCATTTTTGGAGCTGATGTGTAATTTTCTGAGTGCGGAATCAGTGTTTACAGATTACAGATGTTTACAGATAATGCAAAGCGAAGCACAAATAAGGCAGGAAATGTTGACTTTTATTTGCGTGATCTGTTTTGATTGGTTAGGTGGTTCAGCATGATCCGTGCCGTGGAGGGGCAGGCCATTGGAACAGTCTCTTCAGATTCAAACACCTCGCTACAGGCCAGTACATGGCTGCAGAGGTAAGGATTTATCCACATTTACTTCAAATTGTCCCCCTTTAGTTCTTAGAGGCAAGGATCTATTCCTATTCCAGTGAAGACTTTCTCCTTTTTTTTTTCTACAGATGTGTTTCATAACTAATTGCCTTGTTGTAACTGTCAGTGACTTCGGTAACTTAAATGAACCATAACAATTGTACATTATTAAGTGTATAATGGTGTGACGTAGCAGTTTTTAATGTGCGGTCTGAAACAGTTCTAGGGGCCTGGTTGCCGATAATGGCCCAAGCCGAAGTTCAGGCCTACATTTTTTTGGGTAAAAAACCATTAAAAGGCCAAAAAGTTGAAAAACTTCAACAATTTTGTTCTGCCATTTTACTTTATGTTCCTGCCATTTCTATGGTGCTCGAGACATGCTCAACATAAAATAGATATTACATCAATGTCTCGCACGTAGTCAATTGTAGCTGACATACTTACGGGCATGTGGCACAGAACATGGAGTCTCACGACCTGTTCTAAACTCCGCCATTTAATCACTGAGTGGTGTTAAAATGGCAGTTTAAAATCAAGCATGTGATAGGCTATCAACCAATAGGAATAAGTAAATTGTCCCAGGTATTTATGAATAATATATTAATCGTCATAAGGATGACAACATAAGGATGACAACATATGTGATGCGATCAAGCTACATGAGATACAGGCCAAAATAGGGCCACTTCATCATATCACTTCATCACATTTCTTGGTGACCCGACTTCCATAATTTTTTTAACTAAAAATGGTATCAGCATGCGGTTTTCACAGCAGTAATACTGAGATTGTGCTCTTTTCAAATCTGTAATAAAAAAAATTTTGACCGGGGTCGACAAACGACTCATTTAGCTTGATCGCATCACATATATATTAATTTTCATTCATTAATATTCCTTAGGTGGACAATGACAACACTAAGGATCACACCAGGGAGAAGCTTCGCGGTCCCCATGGCGGCACCGTGTACCAGATGGTCCCTATCATCCACGGCAATGACATTGCCTCCATATTTGAACTGGACCCCACGACGTTGCAAGGCGGAGACTCCATGGTGCCAAGGTACAACCCTCCAGAAACAACAGTTTCAATGAAAACTGGATGGCCTTGCGGACATTTGTTGGTTGTTGTTGTTGTTGGACTATACGACCAATGTACTGTTTTGTTGTATTCTTTTGTTCCTATTGTCTGGACTTTTTCTTCACATACAGAGATGAAACTTTTCCGATTTTAATCGGAAAACCGACTTTTTGAATTTTCCAACGAAATTTACGATTTTTTTACAGTGTGTCCCACAAAATTTGATTTTGTGTAAGGATTTTTTCTCACAAAATGTCATTTTATTTCAATCATAATTTCGAAGAAAAGTCGATGGAAATGGCACGTTAAAATCATCGCGAACGTAGTTTTAATCTCTTTCACCAGTCGTTATTGGAGTGTTTCAACGGTAGAAACACAGGGCATAACACTGATCCGAGCCTTCTCCGGCTGGACAAAAGGTTAAACTTTGACAGGCGACATGGAAAAATCACTGTGTCGCACGTGCGTGCATGTACTGTACGCAATGATACCAGCGTACGTACCGCACCGTACCGTCTGCTAGCACATGGCCGGTCGGGAACGGGTACCTTGTGAACGATCCAGTGGATAAAATCATTATGTTGTGTGATTTTCGGGGGTTTCAAATTTAGTTATACAAAATACAATGCTTTAAAAATCGTGATGATTATCTCGAGGATAGCGAAGAGAGCATTAGCGAAACATTTCACTGGCATTTGTTAGAAGAGAAAGACGATAATACCTGATTTTTCCCCACGTATGAACATGATGAATGCAAGTGGAGTAGTGGAGTTGTGTGGTTGAATGGACATGATTGAAGCACCATGAACGGTGCCTTGTCTTTCAGACTTTTCCCTAGACTTTCTCAAGTAAGAAGTGAACTTCTTTATTGATGACTCCATTACTCTAACCGTAATTCGGGCATTTTATGCAATGAAAACACTGAACATTTTTTTCATCGTAAAATTTTGTTTGAATCGAAAATAAAGCAGGAGTAGGTGTCCGGAAATTGAGGATGAAGTGTATTGTACATGCATGTACATGTGTGTATGCAGTGCAGCCCAGATTTCGGACACGTATTTTTCTTCGGCATATTTTCCGATTTTTTTGCCATATGCCAGTTTCATCTCTGCACATATTCCACTGGGTTGTGGACAGAAATACACAGTACCTAGTCTCAAGTCCTCTGGGGTATCATTAATCTCAGATGAGGCTCGGCCTCGCCTGCTTCATTTGGGAGACAGTTTTGCTGCCTGTCACCCACTTCGCGGGCGATCAACTCGTAAACAAACACACACTTATATTCCATACCTACTGTGGACATTCCTCTGTATTCGTGTAGTTTAGAAAATTTGGAGATAACAAATAATTTTACTCGCATTGTGAACACTGTTTTAACCCAAAATGGGTTCCTCTTCATTTTGCGACAGATAACCTTAACCCAAAATGCCTCAAACCTGTTTTCCACAGAGGGAGAAACCTTGTGTGGACGTGGGCAAGTCCACAAAAGGCTCACACTTCCTGCACCCTGCGGTGAAAACCCTTTGTTCCAAATTTCTAAAAAATGAGACAATATTCATGAATTTTTCTGTCATTCTGTTTTTTGTTGTGCAGGAATTCCTATGTGAGGTTGCGTCACCTGTGTACCAACACCTGGGTGCATAGTACTTCCATACCGCTGGACAAAGGAGAAGATAAGCCAGTCATGCTCAAGGTTTACACCGCCATTTTTTTTTTTTAAGGGTGCAACAATTCATTCATCGATTTCTTTTTACCATCACACAAGAATGCTGGAATACGACATCATATAAACATGAATAAATATCTATATCGCTAATACTTTAATATGAAAGTACTAAAAGGTAGAGTCCATCATTTGTAATTGCTGCATTTTGTTCGTTTGAAGCAACAAAAGTGTTTAAAATCTAAAGAAGGGTGCTGAATAACTTACCTGATGAATTTTCAGCTCAGCTACAGCTGTATGTTCCGAGAAACACAGCATTCTAGGATCTCAATTTCAAATCAAAAGTTGCTGAATCATGTTTTGAATTAGGCCTGAATTCAGCGTCCGAGACATGTTCTCGACGAGACGATTGCAGCTACGGCCTTCTTTTGTTGATTTCTTCAAAATGACAGCTTGCCAGAAAGAATAAATTCACAGGGAGTTTAGTCCCCATACTATCTTTCAACCGAGTATGTTTTTCAACAATAATTACGTCAGTTACTTTTTGGATAGCTGCAAATGATGGACTGTAGCTTTAAGATGATATCTGAGCAATATACATGTATATATATGAGCCGGCAGTTCAAAATATCTGAATATTTGGTCAAACACAGTTTCGAGTAAGCGAATGCTAAACTATTCGAAAATTGACAATGCAATGTTGGAGCTTTGCATGCTTTAGGAAGGTACAGCCTAGAAAGTGTAACTTCAATGGTTTCATGACTTCAAAGTTTTAAGTGGTTCCTACCCAATTGGGTTCCTATAGTTGTTCCTAGTTCCAAGCAAAATTATTGAAGGGGTTAGTGTCAAATGGTAACTTTTTATTCATAGCAAAGTCTTTAGTGCATTTTCCAACTTTTTCACCTATTCAGGTTGGTACCGCTCAGATTCGGGAGGATCGCGAAGCCTTTGCCATCATCCCAGTCTCCCCGACAGAAGTCCGGGATCTAGACTTTGCCAACGATGCCAACAAAGTGCTGTCTGCCATCGCTTCCAAGCTGGAGAAGAGCTCTATCACACAGAATGAGAGGAGGTAATAGTCAGTGGACCTGAGGAATTGGATGTTTTGAACAAGAAAATGACTAGGTTCTTGTGAAATCTGTAGTAGGTTGGAAAAAGAAATTGACGAGAGCGAGTTTCAAACATGCTACATTCAGTACATTGCACCGGTGTAGTGTGAAGATTGGATTTTATGAACTACGGACTCATCGGTTTTAATGCGCATGTTTAGATGTACTATACAATATTTACTTTCTAACTTTTTACCAAATATTGTTACACTGACCTGTTTAAGGTTGTGTGTTCATGGATACTGTAAAAACCAAGAAAAGTAATCCTGTTCTTGTAGTCCAGTTCCCTGACCCTACTTCAGATGAAATGGAGCAATGTTATCTAGACGTCAGGGAATTATCAGTTCAGGGAACCAGACTAGCTGGCTTGCACTCATTCACGGATGTGTAACCAATTGCGAACAAAATGTGGACTAACTAAATTTTGTAAATTGGGGGCAGTATTTGAAAACAGTCAATTTTCCCCCCCCCCCAACGATGGTCGGCCGACCATCATTGGAAATTGATACAAGTATTCCACTTTTCTTGAAAACGACAGCAGACCAGGTGCCATGATTTCACAGGATGCTTGAGACTATTACTCACTTACAGTCCAGTAAGGTATTTCATAATAATTTGGTAGTTTTGTTTTTCGATTTTTGCAAATGTTGTATACCGCCTTTAAGTGAAGATAATTAGGACAGTGACAGGTCACGTGTAAGGGTTAGAATCCATATAAGGTAAAATAGATCAGATTGCATAGGAGTCCAGATTTCATATGTAACAACTAAGTTATCTAGCCGATGTTGGTAGTCTTCCAAAAGGTCTTTGCTCATTGGAAATGAACACTAACTTTCAAAGAGGAACATGCATATGCTGCTCAACAAAAAAAAAATTAGGAACAGTTCTTTTAAACAGTAACAATGGCTTCTCTGTTTAAAAAAAAAAATCATCTCTTTTCTCCTGACCCTAAGGTTTGTCACCCAGCTGTTGACAGACTTGGTGTACTTTGTGTCCATCTTGCCCAACAACGGTGGGGACGCCCTGAACGTGGTGGTTCAGAACCCCGACAGGGACCGGCAGAAACTCATGAGGGAACAGGATATTCTCAAACAGGTAAATAACAGTCCGATAAATGAGTGGCTTGCGCTAATCAGAGTTGACCAACGCCAAGCTGTGGCCCCTCGGTAGGAATCGTAGATGTAGACCGGAGGCCTGACCTCATAACACACGTTGATATGAGGACCAACAACGACCTCGTGCTTCTGATATCTTATTGGATGCTGGGCATCTTGGCTGTGATGCCACCCCTTTAGTTTGATTGGTCCACTTTTCCTGTATACTCATGCGTTATGCTTATAGCAGCACCCTATTGGTACGCAGGTAGTTATTTGAATTAGGTTGACCACTACATTGTCTTCCAAGGGAGGATCCAAAACACAATTTTTTTGGGGAGGGGGGCTAAAAACATTTTTGTCCCCCTCAAAAGTGGGTCCCAAAAATAACAGCTGTGGGGTTCGGGGCCCGTTTAAGGGCCCCCAAAAAAATTGGTTTCTAGATGCTCTGTGGTGTGATCTGAAGCAATTTCTGGCCACTTTAACCAAATCTTTTTGAGAAAAAGACCATGATGTACGCAGTGCCTGCCTTTATTGTGGCGTCACTTTAAAAAAAAAAAAAATTGGGGTTTTTTTGGGGGGGGGGCATGGCCCTTGTTGGCCCCCCCCCCCCCCCCCGGATCCGCCCTTGTCGTCTCCTACCAATATCTTACAACCACTCGTACTTTGTCACCATTTTTTAGTTATTAATTTTCTTTCCTTGACAGATCTTCAAAATCCTGAAAGCACCTTTCACCGACAACGGAGATGGTGCCATGCTGAAGATGGAAGAGCTTGCGGACCCCCGCCACGCCCCGTACCGCCACATCTGCCGAATATGCTATCGCATTCTCAGGCTGTCACAACAGGCCTACAGGAAAAACCAGGTTTGTACAGTGTCTGTGGAGGATTCCAAGTTTGCTTAATCCTTGGGTGGTTATACACCATCACTGGATATTCCAAATATTCAAATGCTTTGTCGGCATGTAGAAAAATTTGCAATTACCCAGAAAGAAACGTACCTACCAATTAAAAGAGAAAGTCCTTCCTCGATGTGAAGATAAGACTGGTACCAAATACCCTGTGAAATTTTTCCACCTGAAATGGTATCGTTTGGGAGAAAACAATCATTGAAGGTGGTTTAAGAAAATGTGCCCACGGGCTCAGTTTTTGACGTACGTTAATAACAGATTGCAGATGCGAGACCCCAAAAAATGTGCATACGCTTTCTCTGTTTTCTCAAATCGTATAGTATCCACCAAGCTGAAACTACAACAAGTTAGTTGTTAGGCACTGGTCTTAAGATTTTGAGCAATTTTATTGCTTCAAACGGAAACAAAATGTACAAAAAATCAAAAGATCCTATGTACCTTCTAGATTATATTGATATTTAGATTTTTGTGCACTCACCTTCAGTGAAAGATCCCGAGCTTTACATATTTTATGTGCAACATGAATGAAATGAAGTTTTAAACAAAACATTTTACATTAATCGTGAAAGTGGATTATTGTCTGCTGTTACACCTGGTACAGTAAAACTACCCCCCCCCCCCCATTGTAAACTGTCACCGCAGGAAAATGGACCATTCCGTTGAGCACCTCAGAAGCTATAAACTGTTCCAAAGTGAAAGCAGTCAATATTGGTTTTATAACATAAATTTTGAAATTTGATTCAATTAACATCAGAGTAACACAAATTAAATTAGTGAGAAATCCATGCGGTGATTCTGCACCCCAGATGCCTCTAAACCTTTGTACTCTCATATGCAACTTATACTTCATGCGTCTGTGTTGCACTTGTTTTAAGAAATGACTATTTAATGTAACAATTATGGATTGAGCCGGTGCTGTTGGTTTGACCCTAGGAGTACATAGCCAAGCAGTTTGGCTTCATGCAGAAGCAGATCGGCTATGATGTCTTAGCAGAGGACACTATCACTGCGCTCCTTCACAACAATCGTAAACTCCTAGAGAAGCACATCACGGCCACTGAGATTGAGACTTTTGTCAACCTGGTCCGCAAGAACGGGGAGTGTAGGTAGGTAATCAATAAGAAATGTCGTGTCCTTTTTTGCAGACTTTTCAATGTGTGGCGTTTTTGTCAGAATTTGATTGTTGATGGAGTACTGATCAGTTGTAATTTTCGGATATTGGATTTTGTCCTTCACCAGTGTAATTTTATCATCCTACTTCTTTTTGGAGAGCTTGTGGAAAGTGCCCCCCACCCCTTGCCCCATCCTGGCAATGCCCATGCCAATGAGACTAGTTCAAAATCAGTTACCAATAAGCATAGATCTTCAATCAGGACAACATCATTCTGCTGTTATCTCTGTGTTTTATTCTTAAGCTGAAGTATTCAATTAATTCTCAGGTTGCAGATAAGGGAAGAATTCAAACTTATAAGTAGAGGAAACTTGAGGTTGAACTTTGAGGAACCCTGGAAAACGTCATGGAAAACCTCAAGGAAAACCTCATGGAAAACCTCAAGGAAAACCTCAAGGAAAACCTCAAGGAAAACCTCAAGGAAAACCTCAAGGAAAACCTCATGGAAAATCTCAAGGAAAATCTCAGGGAAAACCTCAGGGAAAACCTCAAGGAAAACCTGAAGGAAAACCTGAAGGAAAACTTCATGGAAAACCTTAAGGAAAACTTCTGGAAAACCTCAAGGAAAACCTTAAGAAAACCTCAAGGAAAACCTCAAATTATCGCCTGTTTAAATTTGCATTCTCCCTAGTCAGCAACCAGGTCCCTTACCGGTATAAACCTCATAATTGTAATTATTCCATGACGCTATTTTTCCCCTTTATTGTCTCTTTTTCCACCTCAGATTTCTGGAGTATCTGTCTGATCTGTGTGTGTCCAACAACCAGGCTATTCCTGTCACCCAGGAGCTCATCTGCAAATCAGTACTCGTCGAGAGAAACTCGGACATACTCATCGAAACAAAGTACGAACTAACACTTTGCTTTGGTGTAGCCCACGACAAACAATTCAAACTGACTAGAAAAAAGTTCGAACTGAAGATGATTAAGAACTCTTGAGTAGTTAAAGGTAATATCCTGTGAAATCATAGCATCTGGTGTGCAGTCATTTTCAAGAAAAGTGGAATTTTCGTATCAATTTCCAACGATTGTCAGCTGATCATCGTTTAGAAAAAAAGGTGACTTTTTCCAAATACTGCCCCCAATTTACCAATTTAGTTAGTCCACATTTTGTTTGCAATCGGTCACACATCCGTGAACCAGTGTAAGCCAGCTAGTCCGGTTCCCTGTCCTGACAATTTCATGACGTCTATAAATTGCTACGTTTCGTCTGAAGTAAGGTCATGGAACCAGACTACAAAAACAGCATTTTTTCTTGGTGTTCCCAGCATCTATGAACACAAAACTTTTAACACATATTTGCTAAAAAATACTAACCCCCAAATCCATCCATTTCTGAAAATTACAGCAAAAACAAATGTTGTGTATAACCTTTATATCCCAATGGCTAATTTCACAGAAATTTGCTAGTCAAAGGAAAGTAGTGCTTAGCGATTTTCTATTACTTGCCATTGAAAATGCTTGCATGGAGTCCATTAAAAGCAAGCAGATATCCCAGTATTTCTCACTGACACTCAAATTTGCCAAGCATTCAGCACTACTCAACAGCATCAGTAAGTGTTAATTGTACAACCCGGCGTTCCAGTCAATTATTCAAGATTTATTTTATCTACTCTGTGCATGGCGAGCCAATATATAAATGTAGGCTGAAAATGGTGGCCATTGAAGATGGGCAAGCCCGTATTTTCAGTTTGATCTTAATTGTGCACTTTTTAAATTCTATTGACAGGGGTGAAATTTTTCAGAATTGTAATGTCAGGATTATTCCTGATTTGGGGATTTTTAAAGAATCCCTTGTGAATTCTGGAATCCTCAAGGTTTGTACCTATAAAAGTTCATAAGCAACAAAATAAACCTACATTTAAGGGGTGCCTTTAGGCAAATACACACATATACCATATACCCTACGTTGCTATGGGCCCTAGTTGACCCTCAAACCCTCTGCCAAATTTTCATGGATTTGTTCATTTTCCCCCAAACCCTGTGTCTAATAAAAGCAATATATTCCAATGTCAAATAAATAAATTGTTTACCACTCAGATTGGTGAGAACACAGATGGAAGTTGAGATGGAGGTTGAAGCCGACGACGGCACCACGGAACCAGTCTACACCATCGAGGAAGAGGAAGAGGTTGTCTTGTTCTGGAAGAACGGAACCAAATCCAAGAGCATCCGAGAGTTGGCCATGGGGGCCACGGAAAATGTCAAAGAGGACGCCAACGTTCTCAAATACTACAGGTATGGCTAGGAGAGCAATTTTATCATATTGTGTTAGTACATGGTTTTCTGTGTAAACAGCCTCCGCCGATTTTGTGAGGATTGAAGGAAGTAGGCACAACAGAGCAAACTCACATCAGAGAAAAAATAATTACTTGACAGTGTTCAGTGAAAAGCTATATGCATGTGCAAGTATTATGTCTTTGTAGTACATCAGTTTGGTGATAAGATTGTTCAGTTTGATGATAAAGGCATGGAATTTGGCTGACAGTCTGAGTATGTCATGGGAAAGATATTTGGCTATAGGGCCATCGCAGATTTGTCTTTTGAAAAAAATATCATAGGATTACCGGAAATTTTCAAATTTTCAAAATGGCGGCCATTGCATGTTATTCTATGATATTTTTTCCAAAGGACAAATCTGCGATGGCCCTATTGCCAATTATCTTTTCCATGACATACTCTGACTGTGTGCCAAGTTTCATGCTTTTATCATCAAATTCCATCATGTTGTGCACCAATCTGCCTGACTATTGCTCTGGCAATTTGACCGCTACCTGTTGAGCTTCCCATGAAATTGAGCCTTGGTGGTTCCTCTCCGAGCTTATCATTTTTTTTTCAAAGTTTACCAAAGAATCACATTTGTTGCTTCATGGCCTTGTTGTGAGAGGTCAGTGATATTTACATCAACAGATTTATTAGTTCTTGAAGAAGATGTTCTTCAAGTTTCATTTTGACCTGGCTGTTGAGAACACCATCATCAGTATGGTTATGAATTTCTCTCCATCCACAACATTTCTTGGAAATTTCAAGCATGCGTATTAACAGTTTGACACTCCCAATCTTCCATTTGTCTTCATTTAGGCCATCAGCCTGGGGTTTGGTCAGTATCAAATCAGGGCATAAATGATTATAGTGCGCATGCGCAAGGTATGCCGCCCCTAGAGTGGTAACAAGCATTTTGATGGACATTTTGAAAAAAAAGGTGAAAACACCCAAAAAGCTGCCACCGCTGCAATGCTATCACATATTTTCCAACTCTGGAGGTGAATACCTTGCCAAAAATCGCTATGACGATTATTCCCCTCATTTGATACCGGTGGCCAAAATTTTGGACCGAGGCTGATGGCCTAATTTTCTTTTTTAGAAATTACGACAGGTATGCAATTAGTCCGTTATGGTTTTTAGATACAGCTACGTGTGACACAAAATCAAATTGCTTCATGACATTTTTTCTTTCATGAGGAGACAAATTTTCTGACGTGGATTTGTTTTCCCCCTTCAGATACCAACTAGACTTGTTCTCCCAGATGTGCCTTGATCGGCAGTACCTAGCCATCAATCAGATCGGTCCGCAGCTGGACATCGATCTGATCCATCGCTGTATGTCTGACGAGTCCTTGCCCTATGACCTGCGCGCGTCCTTCACGCGACTCATGCTGCACATGCACGTGGACCGGGATCCTCAGGAGCAAGTGACGCCCGTCAAGTACGCAAGGCTGTGGTCTGAGATCCCTACGCAGATCACCATCGATGAGTGAGTGGATTTTAGTTTTTTTTCCCCAGTGACCTCGATTGTAATTGCAGTGGGCGTAGGGGTTGGGTAGGATCGTCCGGATTTTTTATTCTTCATCTCTGAAACAAGATGTTTCTTCAGTGCCCAAGGGTGGATCTAGCTTTCAGCGTTAGTCAACATTTTGTTTGCAATCAGTTTCACATCCGTGCTTGGGTGCAAGCCAGCTAGTCTGGTCCCTTACCTGACCATTCCCCGACGTCTAAAAATTGCTCCTTTTCGTCTGAAGTAGGGTCAGAGAACAAGACTACAAGAACAACATTTCTTTCCTTGATATCTCCCAGCGTCTATGAACACAAAACTTTAAAAAGGTCAGAGTAACAATATTTGCTGTAAAATACTAACCCCAAAAACTATCCATTTTAGAAAATTACAGCAAACGCAAATGGTGTATATTGCCTTTAAAACTTTATTAAAACCTGACAAATAAGTTGGTTCTTTATCCACCTGGCGTTATTTTAAATCATTTTTCCTTCTCAGTTACGACGGGGCCAACAACCTCACCCATGCAGGCAAGGAGGACGCCCAGCCCAAGTTTTCTCTGACCATCAAGTTTGTGGAGGACTACCTGTGCAATGTTGTGTCGGCGTCCTGGTCGTTCACTGACAAGGAACAGAACAAGCTGACCTTTGAGGTAGGCACAGAGTCTTCCCTTTGGACAAGTATAACACTGCACAGACAACTGAGGTTTTACTGTCCCATGAGTGAAAGCTGTCAACATTTGATTTTAAAACAGCTCACCCATGAGGCCTTTTCACACTGTCGTCTGGCCTACCTGTGTTGAAATTAACTTCATAAGGAGATCCAAGCCTAATCAAAGATGGGTCCAGAAGACGTACCATTTACACTTGCACTTACACCAGTTTGTAGTCTTGTACCTTACTGACAAAATGGCAAAAGTGGATTTTTTATTTCCATCACATAATCGCTACAGCTTATTCTGGAACTTTTAGTCATTCTTTAAGGATTCCTGCAATTTCTTAGAAACATATTCTGTGCAACTTTCTTCGCCTCTTAAATGTATAAAAACTATTTGACATCCCTTTTTGGTTAAGTTTTATTGAAAATTGCACTTCTGCACAAATATTCAAAATTTGCCATGCTTTTCCGGGCAAATGAGGGCGCTGTTGCTGTGATGTCATTCCAGGAAGACACTGTTCAGTTTAGGGGTTTTGTGTTCAAATTGTCAACCCAAGCATGTGCTCATTGACTTACTACCATGGACTTACACAACAAAGAATCATCAAAGAAAAAAAAGATTTACAACAGCAAAATATCCAAAATTCTGGCAAATTGTGGCACTGAAATCACTGTAACATTGAGATTTCTGCTGAAATGACATCCCACTTTTGCTCATGAATATGGAAATTTGCATTAGCTTAAAAACCACAAAGGCACCAAAATACCCCTGATCAATAATTGAAAATAAGGTTAAATGGGACACATACCGGTAGGTGCATTTTCAAGGATTGCATTAACAAAATACATTGCATGGGCCCTTTTAAGAAATTGGTAGAATGTTATGTGTTCTGGGACTAACGTTAATTTAGGCTTGCCTTGTTTTCTTTCTTTTTGTCTGATCATTGACAGGTGGTGAACCTAGCCAAGCACCTGATCTACTTCGGCTTCTACAGCTTCAGCGAGCTGCTGCGCCTGACCAAGACCCTGCTGTCCATCCTGGACTGCACGCCGGCCACGGGACTGCCCCTGGGCAAACTGGACCCCAAGGCTGATATAGGTCAGTGCCAAGGTCAGAGGTCAAGGTTAAGAGGTCAGAGGTTCGGTCAAGAGGTCACTCACAGGTTTGAAGTTGGGTGGCACTGATGATTAATTGTGTTGGAGCATTTGAACCTGTCTTTGCTGGTTTTATGGGCCTTTTAATTTTTAACAGTTTCTTCCTTGTTTTTATTGGTGGATAAACTTTGCCAAGGAAGACTTGACAAATACGGAAATTATACATTTTTTACTGAAATCAAGTTTGGCTTTTTTTTGTGGGGGGAGGGGAGATATTAGGAATTGTATGCACCTTCAAAAGTATGATTTGTTGTGTTTTTTTTTCTTTTTTGTTGGGGGGAAGATTTTGGAATTCATTTGCAGCTTCAAAACTATTATTTAGTTCTTTTTTTTTTTTATATTCACAAAGATATTTTTTTTAAAAGGCAAAACACTTTTTCAACGAGGACAGAAGTTAAGCCTCGACTACCTAATTTTCCAAACTTTGCCATTTTTTAAAAACAATTTCATGGCCCTCTGTTTGCTTTGTTGTTTACCCAGCCCAGATTGTTGTAGAATTATTTTAATGCACCTTCCCCATATATTTTAGTTATTCCATGAATCCTGTCACGTGCAATATTGTGATGTGTTTATAGATTTGTGAATTAGTTCACTCGTGGAGTATTCTGTTAATCTTCATATTTGAACCCCAAACATTATCCCCTTTTTATGGAATAGTTAAATAACTTGCACAAAATAATTCAGAAGTATATCTTATTAGGGACTCTTTTTAATTGGAACTGCACTATTTCTACTAATTTTCGATGTTGAAATAAAAAAAAATATTAACAAATTGTATAAATGCATGTCTAAAATTTTGCATGAAAAAAAAATGCAAGCATTGAATTTCTGTCCAAGCATGTGCAAATTCACTGCCTTTTAATTTGCAAACTTTTCAGTTCTAAAAAGATTATAAACCCTGCCTAGATATCCTGCAAACATTGAAAACGTAAGAATTTCTGCTTTTCATTGGTGACTCATATGCCAAAGGTTAAGACATGATGGTTGACTTGAATTCATCATGCAGAACGCATTACTTCAAAAACTGCCAATAAAGAATTTTTTTTGAAACCTTGTGATGCACTTAAAATTACCAAAGATTGCCAATTTTAAGTACTCATGCTCAATTATATGCAAAGCAAATACACTGATTGAAAGTTGGGATGCTACAGTTACTTAAACTGAATTTGTTTGACCAAAACAAACAAATCCAAAACAAGATTTAGATGTTGCAAACAAGTTAAGGATTTTAATACAGATTTATGTTCTAGAGTTGTGTTTAAACATGCATACCATTTCCCAAGTGTTTTTGGTCCCCCCCCCAATGGTCTTCCCACTCTGTGAACATTGCCTTGCACAAAGTATAATTGTTTTCAGTGTACTTGTCAAGAGCTGTATAAATTAGAAAAATCATTAAAAACAATTCTGAATTATTTCAGGATTCATTTTTAATTTTTTTTTTTAGATCAGCAAACATGTTGCTTATTTGGTATCAGTGTTTTAACCAGTTCGCGCAAGATGAAGTGTATACACACACAAAGGTTTTTGCGGTACTCAGAACAAATGACGGATAAACACGCAGCATGCGAGGCCGCAAATATGAGTGCGCTGCTCGAGGGTGATAGCTTCAACCCGCCTGGCATGAGGTTGAGTGAAAAGTAAACCCGCTCCTCGTTCCGTTCTTGTCAAAATAATCCCAGCGTGAACTGGTTAAGGCAATTGTTCTCCCTTTGTGTCACAGCTCAACTGCAATTTTTAAGAAGTCGCAAAAAGTTCAATATCCAAAGTTTCCATAATGGATGACCAAGCCCTTGTGCTTAAGCTGACGTGTAATATGTAACTGGAACATGTTGCGTGATATTCACAGAGTGGGTTGGCCAATGCCAGCGGCGTAGTCAGGTCCTTACAAGTCATTGCAAGTCAATCACAATAGTCGTCCAGTTTCATGTCAAGTGACAAGCCATTGAAATGAACTGTGACAAATGCATTCCTTTGTTATTGTTCCCCACCTGTCACCTGTGACTGGACTTGTGATGTAATCGCATTCTCTATCACAAATAACTCGACTACCACCCTAGCTGCATCCAACTTCATTTCATCATCCAGTCTTGTGAAGATGAATTGTGACAGAAATATTCCTGTTGACATTGTTCATGAGATTTTGTGACCTGACTTGTGATTTGACTTGTGATTAACTTGTAACAGCCATGAGATGTAGTAACATCACACTTTGTTTTCAAATTCAAGTGTGCTTTATGATACGAGCTAGGTAGTGTTCTTCATCCGTACCTGGAAAGCAAAGCATGGCTCCATTACATCTCATGGTTATTGGCTTGACCGCAATTCTGGTCTCAACCACTGATCTCTAGTGCCGACTTGGATAGGCGGTCAGGGTTACACCATGCGTCTACCATTGTAGTTCACCCAAACTGCCTCACAGGCCACACGGTACACGTCTTAACCATCGGCGTTAGCATGGCATTTTCCACACACGGTTCCATGACCGTATTGCATTTTGCATTATACGCTATAATAAGCCCCAAATTCACTCAACTATTTGCTGTCTGTCAAATTTAGGTTGTATAGTGGTGAGACGACTGCAAACAGCCATCACTTGAACTTGCTGACTAGTCTTGTTGATGGAATGATTGGTTATCCAATCCCTGCAATGAGGCTGGCGAGACCCACTATAAGGATTTTGTTTTTTACCACAAAACAAGGGGTTCTTGTCAGAGGGATGGGGTTTGGCTAGGATTTTCAGGGTCAGTATTTGAAGAGGGCTCTCACCACTTCATTTGGCTATGTTTGAATGAGGAACTTGTGAAATACGAAGAAAAAAAATTACCAACAAATATCAGAGTATTTAAAAAATTAAGCAAAATGGAGTGCACTTTGCAGTACATTGCCTGCGTGGAGGGTACTCTCCACAGTACGCAGCATGACACCGGGTGAACTAAAACAGCAGCTCGGCAGCATCCGACCTAATGGGCCAATCAGTGGCAAGCAGCTGTTACTGGCTATCCACGTTGGTAATAGAGATCAGTGGTCTCGACCCCATTAAAACAAAAATAAAAAATCCAATGTCCTTTCTAACCGGCACCCTAACTCTCATTTTCATTCCCACTTCACTCTCTCTCTCTTATTACCTGCAGAGCCTCCTAAACAAGGTATGGTACACGGTTCGCATCCCTCCTTCTTTCCTCTGCGCTGTGTCTTTTTATTTTGTCCTCTCCTATAAACCCTTTGCATGCTGCCCTCTACGTTCTCAGTGTTAGCCATGTTTGTGGTTTACAGTGCCTGCCTTGTTGGGCCCCAGTGGCGATGGTTAAGTTTTCCCCAGAGGTTGGTACCATTTTTTTTTTTTTCAAATATGAATTGTTTTGTTTTTTTCACCCAAGTTTCAGGGCTTTTTCTAATGTCGTAATTGTTAGAATATCAGCTTATAAACAAGGGTTTTCGTATAAGCAATAAATTTGAAATACACTTTCATGAATTTTTTTTTTTTAAATAAAGTTGACTGTTTCATAGTGTCCGGCACAGTTTGAAAATGTTATTTTGACATAACGGCGATTGATTTGAAAAAAATGGAAAACGGACAGAAATGTGGTATTATTTCTAGTTACAAGTCAACAGTCTGCAGAATCCACAAAATCTGTATCCATAAATAACCGGATCATAGTGTCATGGTACCTTGATGTACTTGTATGCCGCCCCTTTTTTTATAACTTTATTTTGTACCTTTGGCCAAAATTGAGCCTCCACATTGTTAAAACCCTGTTGTAATTCTCCCTAATTTCCAGTCATTTCTTTTTCAGTTTTGAGTATAACCAAAATCCCAAGTGTGCCGATTTTTGATTAACGTTGTGTACCATTACTAACACTAATGCATTAATACTTTCACAGTTGTGGACATGTCTGTCTACAATCAGGGATTTGTACAGAGTAGTGTATAGACAATCTGGTGAATGAGATATCGACTCCATGCAGGAACTGTTGGGGGCGGTTTGCAGACTACAAGATCCAAATAGCTCTTTGCGATAGTGTACCAGTTTTCAAGCTAACTTGAGTACAAAACATAGTGTGCCCAACTGATTTCAAATTGAAGTTACACAGAACTGTAATATAATGGTTTACTTTCAAAAAGACTGAACTGAATTTTAAACTGAATAATTATTTAATTAGGCAGTGTTAGTTCTAAATTATAAGCTGGTTGCTCTGAATAAAGCACTCTAATATCTACACGCAATGTCAATAGCCTCACAGCGCAAGATCCTGTGCAGTGATCCCTGCTCCTTGACTTAACTACTGCGGAACTGGCCGAACAGTAGTTGGTTTGTCCGATAAGACTTTCTACACGGAGTGGATCTTTCTGTAACCCGACACAGCAGACAAACTCCAACCATGTGCGCACTCAGTTCAGTTACTCTGTGAATCAAGTTTCTTATACACTGCTATACAAGTCTCAACTCTGTACACTTCTAATAAAACAATACAAGAGAACAATTCTCATCAATTTACGTTGTTTTCTATTAGCGGGCCTATTGCTCGGCAAAACAATTACCTCAAGAAATAGACTTGTTCCCAGTCGCTACCCCCATCTCGTCACAATATCACAATTGAGTAGGAGGCATGCCTAACTCTGATTGGTCAATGTGCACACCATTACAGTGTGTGCACATGATGTGTCCCCTCACTAGTTCAATTGAGCAGTCCTCACATTGCCATCCGTCATTCCTGCATGGGGTGTAGGGTTGCACAGGGGGGGATTAAGTCTTCCGTAGGCCCTAGGCACCAGTGTTCCGTAGGCCTTACTCCACACTAGGCACCAGCACCAAATTCATGTTGATGCTAAGCTGTACTAAGCAAGCCAGGCCAAACTGGTAGCTCTAAGTCGCTCATATATACTGCCCTTAAACAGGGTGCTGGGAAGGGCCAACCTCGTCCCCAGGGTGTCGAGCAGTACGCGCCCACCACTACCTGCTCTCTCACCCTGGTATTGGATCATTTGCATGTGCAAAATTTTTGAACACGTATGCAAATTAGGAGTAGTCTGGTGCCTGCCTGTGCGTTACATTTGCGTTTGTTTTTGTATGCGGTGTCTGGGGTAAAAACAGAATCAATTCGTCGCAGTGCGAGCATGGCGTGAGTTACGAAAACATGATTTCATTCTAATTAAACTGTTACGATCTTAACGAGACAACATGCAGTATCACATTTCATATTAATATTAACAAACTGGAAAGGAAATGAATATTTTTGAGAAGGCGTGGACGAATGATCGCGAAAACACGTACTGCACGTTGTGAATAACAACACCAAATACACGATATAAATCCATTTCTAGCCAATTGCGGTATCGAATCAGGATGCAGGAAGGAAGTTTCTTATCCAGGGTTTACTATTGGAAACAACGTTGGAAATAAAGTAAGCACTGGGGACGAGGTTGGGGAAGGGCATATCTTAAGGATACATGTCGTAATTTCTCCGAGCCCACATTGGATAGAATTTGTTTGAACAACAACACGGGTCAAAACTTCCGTGTGTGTGTGTGACACGTGCGCGCTGAATGTATGTCTTTTAATTAAGGCAGCAAGCTACCCACAATGCTTTGCAACACCTGTGCTTCCTTCACAGAATTGTGTGAAAAAGATTAGCCCTTCCCAGTGCCCTAGGGTGGTGGGTACCAGCAAAGAAGTTCTAAAAGCCGGTTGGGACTGACACACTGTGGTATTCTCATAGGCCCTCAATTTTTTTACAGGCTCTAGGCACAGTGCCTCCTATTGGATAATCTGGGCCTGTCAGGTTGCATGTACGGAAACACTGCTGAAATGCCCTTATTTTACAGCAGCTTTCTTGTTTTCACCAGTAAAGGGCCGTGATATGCACAGAGCCAATAGTGGCCTGGCAGTGAAGGTTTTTGAGATGATATTTTACTAATGACATTGCTAGTTAGTTTGTAAATCTTTGTCGTCGTTTCATTGATTGTCTGTTTATGTTTTCAGTAACTTGGTTTGTTAGTTTGCAGTCAGTGTCTCTTTTTGTCATGTGGAATTTTTCAAATGTGTGTTTTGATTCAGTCAACATTGATGGTGCTGCTTTTTGAATAGCATTGCAACACACAATGTGTTTGCCATATTTTTTGTTTGTTTGTTTGTATTTACTCATAGAATTCTAAGAAGAATCCTGGCATAGGAAGTTTTCGAGCGTAGAGATTTATTTCCTTCTTTTCTATTTTCTTGAACTGACAACTTTGTGCTTGATTAGATCTTTTTAGTTTAGCCTGTAAAACTGATCCTCTTGAAGCAAAGTGACAATACGGGCGATTCCCTTTGCAGTGCGCCACCAAGAGTTTGCCAAGGAGAGTCTATTTTCAAGTTTACAATTGACAAAAACATGGCCGACTTGCCACGATTTGAACGAATGTCAGTAGACAACTTGAGGAAATTTTTGATAGATTGGGGCATAGCATTCTGCCGCCTCACAAAAAAAACCACCATGTTGAATTTTTTTTTAAAATAGTAATAATAACGGGTTCTTATATCTCTTACTAGGATCAAAGCACTTTACATCATTATTTCCCCTGCTCATTGGGCCAATTAAACATACCAAATACCATCTCAGCTCCCTGGGGAGTATTCAGCTCGATGCTGCCATTTTGGCGCAAAGCGGCTAGAATCAATCACAATAACCATCTCTGCCCTCTGCCTCACTGGTACCCATTTACTTCTGTATGGGGAGAAGCAATGAGTGACAAAGTGCCTTGCCAGGGGCACACGCATTATAACCCCAGGCTGGACTCGAACCCACAAACTGCAGAAATACCTGCAGACCACGAATTCAATGCTCCAGACAACAAATTCAATGCTCCAGACCACGAGGCGACGGCACCCAACTTACAAACCTACTGACCGGACAAACTAACAATTTTGAGTGTCCCATGCTGCAAATGTGTTGACGGTCTCCCACAATGCACTGCAAAAAATGGACTCTCCGTGGCAACCTCTTGGTGGCGCACTATATTAGGAATCGCCCGAACTGTAATCTATCCTTAGCTTAGGCCAAAAAAAAAAAGTCTCCGGTTTCTGGTATGCGCGCGCGTCGCCGCAGCCATGCGTGTCGGCAAAATGAAAAAGTTTTTTTTCAATACAAGATGATGTCTCAAAACTGCCAAACTCACTGGTTTGACTGGAATCCTGCTGCTGCACAATTTTAACGTGTTTTTAGATGGGGTTATGATCGAGAATAAGCTTTATGTGGCCTCTCTGGACTCCCATATATTTGCACTAAGTTTAGTCGGGCACCATTTGCAGTCATCAGCCGACATTTGAAGCCAAAAAAATAAAAAAACAGGTAAAAAAAAAAAAGCCGCGTCGCTGCACCACTTTTGGGGCAAGCTCCATACCAGAAACCGGAGACTTTTTTTTTTTGGCCTTATCTATCATTTTTTTTTTGAGTGCATGTTTTGCTTCTCTCTGCATCAAAAAAATCCTCCTGTTTATCAGAATTTCTTCTCAGAGAATTTCATTGCGAGTGTAAATCTTCCTTTCGGTGCTTGTTAATTTTGATTTTCAACTAATGATGTTCTTTATGGGCCCTTCTATAAATTTGGTGTCCAAAGAGTGACATTCGTCCTGTCCCTGTTACCTTGGTACTTTGTAGTTTGCCATTTAAGTACATAATTAAGTATAACTTCAAATGATTTTTTATTTGTTGGGTAGGTAGTCTGCTATTCATAATCACTCTTAGAGAACGACTGCATTAAGGAGTACATCAGAATCATAAAATCTTAGATTTCAGATGTAACAGGGAAAAAGTGGACTCTTTGAGTGAGTCTCCAAATTTATAGAATGACCCAAAATTAAACAAACCTTCCGAAAATACTGTTCATTTTTATCACGCCGTAGTGATAGTTACTTTGATTAAAGGTAGAGTAGATCATTTGCAGCTACCAAAAAGTAACTGACCAAATTATTGTCGAAAAGCTTGCTTGGTTTGTAGATAGTATAAGGACACTAAACTCCCTGGCATGCTGTCATTTTCAAGAAAACATTCCATTTCAAAAAGATGCGTCAAGTGACGCATTTTTGGAAATTTCCGTTAGTAGTTTGTTTGTAATTGGGCAAATCCTTGAATGGGTGCACGCAAGTATTGACACGACACACACTCACGCGAGATTTGCTGGTATTCATTGGTTCAGTGTGTGACATCGCGTAGCAGCAATCGGCTGAATGAGAACGTGTCCCGGATGCTGATTTCGTGCACAATTCAAAACATTATACTCGGCAAATTTTGAATTGAAACCAAGATCCTAGAATATTGTTTTCTCGGAATATACAGCATTCACTGAGCTAAAGCGTCTCCAGGTTGGGTTTTTAAGCACCCGTCTTAAAATTTTGAACACTTTTGCTGCTTTCAAACGAAAAAATTGCACGGATGACAAATGATCTATCCTACCTAATAAGGACAATTTTTTTGATGTAATTTTTTATTAATGTCAATTTTTGCCTCAACTTTAATAATTTTACGCAGAAGCTAAATCAGTCCTAGGTAAGAATTTTCATCCATCAGAATGTGGTTACGTTTGAAGGAATGCACGTATTATGATGAAACAGTCGTAGAAATCAGAGGCCTTTTTTTTCTTCCTTGAGACAGAAGTTGCTCTGTGGTTGTACTTTTAGTCTAAGACAACATGCATGAATCCTGCAATGGTACACAATGACAATGGAATGAAACTTGCTTTGAAAGTAACTTGTATTTTTGTGCATATTTGATGTCTGCATGGTGGGAAGAGATGAAAATAGTTTTCAAAATGTAACTTCTGTAGGGGTTGAAGCCTGCGTGTCATGTTTTTAATCAATCCAAACAGCCACAGTTGTACAAAGCTTATCCAAGATTGTCGCGTAATTAGTGGCAATCAGTAGTCTTAAATGATTGATCCGTTAAACCCCACCCATTGGTCACACGGATGATGACATGTGTGTCATACAGCGCGTCTTGCAGCAGCTGTAGAAACACCAAAACAAACAAATTGTGAAATGCGTGACATGCTCTCTGTATCTGATATGAACCGCTGCAGTTTATTTCGGAAAAACTTGAGAAGTTGTTTTGTGTTTAAGTTGGATCAAAAGAATGGGAACTCCCTAGAAATGTGTGCATGCTTGCATGCATGTGAAATGGTAACAACGTCCAGACACTTTTCAGGGACTGTAAAATTTCTGTGTATGAAAGACTTTGTGTTGGATAGAAATTTGTTGGGTTCTGGAAAGCCCATGCATGTGTCTTGCGTGAACTGTTACGTGATTTGTGTTGGTCGTTGTTGTACTTTAGTCCACTGTCAAGTCGAACGGATTGTACAAATATTGACGGCTTCGAGTGGTGTAGTAAAACTAGCCTCCCAAGGTGATCCATGAAGCATTCTATTTTTCCCGAGACGAAACCAAGGGAAAATAGAATGCTCCATGGATCACTGAGGGGGGGGGGGCTATTTTTACTATGCCACGAGATCAAGCAGTCAATATTTGTTTTATAATACCTCTCCCACAGATTCTGCTTGATTTAAGCAATAACTGCAACTGCAATTAAAATGCAATTAAAATGTACTTCTATTTGAATACAGAATTAGTTGAAAATTTACTTGCACTTTTCCAAACTACTCCTTCACGAACAGTTTGAACCCAGCTCTGTAGCGCTAGCTCTTGGGAACAATACGCACAACACGCAACATGCACATCTGCATTTGCGGGTTTACAATACGGGTTGTTATGCGTATAGTACTTTGGTTGTTACAGGTATAGTACTTTGGTTGCTATGGGTATAGAACTTTGGTTGGTTACCACGGATAAAGTATTTTTTGGCTGAGTACAAAGAAAGCAAAAATAGCGAATAGCATGTGACTCGTTCTCGGCCATTCAAGATACAGAATTTGTGGGTGAGATGTTTATAAGCTTAAATATCATAAATAGTATAGGTAGTAGAAATTAAGCCTGACAAACTAGGCTGTGGTCTGAGTACTTGGGTTTCTGGTTTAGAATTAGATTTTGATTTACTTAACATGAAATTGCAAATATATAAGAAACATAATTTTTGGGTGAGGGCTAGCAAAATAAATATTGAATGCTTGAACTCATGGTGTAGTAAAAGTAACCTCCCATTGTTATCAATGGAGCATTCTATTGACCCTTTGCTTCACTGTGGGCAACAGAACACTCCATGGATCACTTCAGGAGGCTAGGTTTACTATAGTGTTGATGTACCCTTACGTAACGTGGCATGGCCCCTAACATGGCGCACTTTGATTTATCGCCTCTAGTGCCTCACTAGAGCAATACTTTTACCTCAATTTCTTGAAGCTCTAAACATTCCTGTTCAGAAATCTTGAGTTAACATACCCGCCACAAAGTTCCAGAGAAATTCTCTTTTGGCGTGATTTTCCGATTTTATTTCGAAGTGCACAGTGAACCCTTTTTGAAATGCGCCCAAAAATAAGGGAATTCTGACAAACTTGTAGTTGGGTATGTGAGTGGTGATAATAACGATTTATCAGATTTTATCAACTTTTAAAGAAATTCTTAAATGTTAACGTGGGATTTTCCGAGAGTTGTTCAAGTGCGCCATGTTAGGGAACAGTCGGCCAAATTTGTGGCCAATTTCCGGACGCCACCTTTTTTAAAAAATTTCATGACACTGAAATTTTTCTCAAAGGTTCAACAGCAAGCATTGTTAAAGTAATAGTACCAGTGTTTTACTGAACGAATTTGAAAGTTGCCAACAAAGAGGTGTGGCAACTCTGCATGAGGAAAGTCTAGGGAAAGGTCAAAGTGCATCTCGGTAGGGGCCTTTGCAGTAACACTTGGAGCAGTCAATATTTGGTTACTATACCACTTTCTATTTCAGTATACAATCAGAATGGAACTTGTCTACATCACTGATCTGTTTCTATGAGCAGTTTATTTCTTTATTTGAAATTGTACACATCCCATCGTTGCTATTGCTGATATCCAGCTGTTGATTTTACAGGCAAGGGCGGTGTGTTCCGTTCCATCCACGGCGTGGGGGCCGTCATGACCAACATGGTCCTGGGTAGCGGCCTGCCCCACTCCCCGCTGACCCACCACTCCTCGGGACCCAGCGTGGCCAGCTCGGGTGGGGGTCTGGACAACCACAACAAACAGGACGAGCTCGTCATGGAAACCAAACTCAAGATCATCCAGATTCTGCAGGTACATTAAGTCAGTCTGGTTCCCAAACCTGACAATTATTCCTGACGCTCACATCTAAATTGTAGGTCAGGCAGTAACCGCGACTAAAATTAAACCTTTTTCAAAGCTCGGCTTCGTTTCAGACTTTAATGTTCCGATCAAATTTTTGAATAAATCACTTCATATACCATACAGTTATGATATACAGTTTGATATTTCTGTAAGAAAACATTGACTAATGTTGACCTGGAATCTTCAAAGTTATGCATCCAAATAGCACTGTTAACAGGCGGAGCTGAATGGGGACCACGCAGAGTTTTGGAAAATCCCTGTAACGGTCATCAAATTAAAAAAAGTACATGATGCAGCAAAAAGTTCGCCCCTCGTATACGATCCGAGTGCACACTTAATGCACAAAATCGTCGTTGAATTCCAAGTCTAAATGCAAGCAATGAATATTAAGTATCAACTCATTTGAGAGCCAGATGGGCACGATTTGCTGGCATCTCTACCTGGCTCCCATAGGAAAGCGCACATGTAAACAAAGCATGACATCATTATGTCTTAGGTCTATTATTTCTCTTACTAACATTTATTTTCACTTGGATAAAATTCTACCCTACTGTAAACTTCTTAAACACTCTTTGTGTTCTGTTTCATCTTTAGTTTATCCTGAATGTGCGTCTGGACTATCGCATCTCCTGCCTCTTATCCATCTTTAAGAGAGACTTTGACGAGAGCAAGGATTCCACTGATGAAATCCACCACTCCAGGCAAAGTGTGGACGGCAGCGAAAGCCCTGGCATCAACCTGGAAGCTATTGGTACATTTGCATATTCATGACTTGACCATTTTCAGATGAATGTTCATATGATCAACCTGGAAGCTGTTGGAGCAAACCTTAATATGTGCATATTCATGACTGGACCACCTTCAGATAAATATTCATATGATCAACCATATGAAGCTGTGTTTGCGTATATTCATAACTTGAAAATTCGACATTAATTTTTTTTTTTTTTAGACGTTCATCTAATTGGGCACATTTACCTATTTATGAAAGATGTGTAGTTGTGATAGGCTGTTCAACTGAAAAATTGTTCAAGGCCTACAGACAAGGGGCCAATTATAAAAGTTTTAGTTTACTTGGATCAATTCAAGTGAGCAAAAATTCCATTGTCAAACAAGAAATCAAATTGCGTCTTGAAGAATGGGAAGATATTGATTTGACAGGGGCATAGTCACTTCCTGCTATAGTCAAACAATTCCTTTTCCTTTTCACTTGCGTGCATCAAGTGTACAGTGGAACGCCGCTATAACGAACATCGCAGGATCCACAGAATTGTTCGTAATAGCAATCATTCGGTATAGCGATTTTAAGCTGTCTGTGCTCCGGTATCACTTTTCAATAAATAGCGCCCTTTAGAACTTCACCCTGCATGCCCTGGTACTTGCTGAAAGATGACTTTATACACGTGCCGACCATTGAATTTTGTACTTACACACTTTTTGAGCTTACTACCTACAGCAATGGGTGGCTTTCCCCTTCTATTTATTCCTTGGGGAAATAATAACCACTTGTCACTCTTCTGTTAACATTTTTCAAAATCGGGACCCAAGAACGATGTTAGGTATGGCCGAATGTTTGGTATACAAATGTATAGCGGTGTTTGGTATAACGACGTTCCACTGTATTCCATAATTAAAGATTATAATATTAAGATAATAATTTTTGTGCTTAAGTTTTAAATACAGAATGTTGAAAAGTGACTGATCTTTGGAAATAAAGGTTGTGCATGGTTTTTCACTGTTTTCTTGAAAAGTGTAATATCCACTGAGCTGAAAGTTCAGGTTTGGTTTGGAACATTCTTCTTTGGATTTTGAGTGGTGTCATTATTGGAAACGAACAAAATGCATGAACAGCGAATGATCCTATATGCATTTTAGTACACATTTTGAAGTTAGGCATTGATCTAACCCAGAAGATTTGTGGGGTTTTTTTGACAGGTGATCAAGCTGAAGGCATCTTTGAGGGTCAAACAGACGGCATTGATCTGGATCTAGACTCTCAAGGAGGCAGGACCTTCCTCCGTGTTCTCCTGCATCTGACCATGCATGATTACCCTCCCCTGGTGTCTGGAGCCTTGCAGCTGCTCTTTAGGCACTTCAGCCAGCGTCAGGAGGTGCTACAAGCCTTCAAACAGGTGGGATCATCAATGATAATGATAATGTAATAATGTGGCGCTTATATAGTAGTTTATACCTAAGTTTTTAAAGCGCTTCACAATTATTATCCCTGTTCATCCGGAATGAGACTATTTTTTTGCAGCAGATCGAGATCAGCGCAATTTGGTCCCTACCTTCCCTGGTACCCATTTATACTCCTGGGTTGAGAGAGGCAATTGTGGTAAAGTGCCTTGCCCAAGAAAACAAGCACCGTGTTCCCCGTCAGGGTTCGAGCCCATGTACCGCGGCACGTGTTTCGAACACCATAACCATTGGACCATAGCACCCCACAAATATGGCTAGATCCTTCAAGATGAGTCTGAAGGACAGGTTTCACTTTGTCAGTTTTTAAAAGCAGTAGAAAGCACATTGTAAGTTGCTTTTCACTCAGTTTCACTCAGGTTGACATCTTAATGCAAATATTGTGTGGGTGAAAAGATTTATTTTTCATTGTGTAAGATTCCATCAAAAGGCCTGTAGTGACCAATCATGGCAGTGACTGATAAGGGAATAAATATGTGCTTGGCCAGTTTTAAACAAGTACACAGATGTAGGCCATTATCAGCAACCAGGCCCCTAGCCTGTTTTAAACATATTTGTTTAATACCAGCCAAGCACATGTTTATTCCCATTCATAAATACCTTTCGGTCAAAAAGTCAAATTAAGTCAAAAATTATAAATTTCACCTAATGTTTTTTTAAACGCCGCTCTAGCAATGTTTGTGGTATGCGCCTTGCGTGAATAGTACTCAAACTCTCCTTATATGGAGATCGGCGCGCGCGTACTGTGCGAAGTGTTTAAAACCAGTCGGTGTTTTATCAAATGTCTAAAACCACCCACGTGACGAGCTGTCGACCAATAGGAATGGGTTTACTGTCTATTATTATAGTATTTATGAATGTCTGAGGAAAGTAGGAAATGCGTGCACTTGTGTATCGCACATATGCGTCTGGAACAAGCAGTGGGGCATTGACTGGAGAGATGCACGTTTTGTTGCCAATGTGCCCAGTGAGTAGGGCCCAATGGATCGACCCATCTATTTATGGGAATCCGTGGGGGGAATGCAGAATGAAATCTAAAGGAGTCATTTCAAAATTATTGACAAATTCATCAATGTTGAACTGGCTTAAAGTTCAACATTGATGTATTTGTCTATAGTTTCGAAACGACTCCTTTAGATACTTCAGTCATTTGGGCTTTGGCTGAACTTCAGTCATTTGGGCTTGGTTGAATCTTTGAAAACGTTCAGCCATGAAGCCAAAATGATTTAAGTTTTCTTCTCATCTAGATGAGCCTTTTTGAAACAGCAAACTTTTCATGTACTCAATAATTTGAGTAGGCGCCATTCTTGAACCGCAGCAAGAAAAGCATTGAGATGGTGAGCCAAAACTTGTTTTTAACATTTAGAGCAAAGCAGATAGCAACTGTGATATTAAATTCATCTGACGTCCTCCACAATAGGTTCAGCTCTTGGTCACGTCCAATGACGTGGAGAACTACAAGCAGATCAAGACGGACCTGGATGGTCTGAGACTCCTGGTGGAGAAATCAGAGCTCTGGGTCTACAAGAGCAAATATGACCAAGGAAAGGACAAGGAGAAAAGCAAGAGTAAATCCAAGGGAGCCAAGAAAGTAAGTTCTCAGCTGTTAGGTATATTTTATGGTTGTGCTTAGTATATGGGCCCAATTTCACGGCGCTACTTAACAGTTAGCAGAAAAGTTGTGTTTAGCATAGCAGAAAAATTTGCTAACCTTAAGCACTATTTCACAGCGTGTGTGTGCTAACGGTCGCACGTGCATGGAGATTTCTATTGTTACGTCACTAAGTTAAGCAAAATTTTCCTCTGAGGTAAGCATGCCTTTTGCTGTGCTTATGCTTATGGTCTCCATGAAATAGACAGAGGCTCTGTTAGCAGAAAATCGTGTGCTTAGCAGCGCCGTTAAATTGGGCCCAGATTGGTAGTCAAGTCCTCACAGGTCCATCACAAATGAATCTCTAGTCATCTAGTCCTGAGTCAAGTGACAAATTACTCAAATGAACTGCGACATAAGCATTTGTTTATTCAAGGGCGGATCCAGAGAGTTTAGTGCCAGGGGGCTGAGGCTGTGCGGGGGGGGGGGGGGGGGGGGGGGGGGGGGGGGGGGGGGGGGGGGGCCAGTGAAATATGACCTTATTTGACAAAATGTTGGTCACTGTTATTGTTATTCATCCTCTAAACACTTTTGATCTTATAAGTATAGAGCAAGGAAATTTGCTCCTTTTTTGTGAATGAAATATTGATGAATTGTTAGAGATGAATTGCTTTCTAGAATTTAGAAATTATTGAGACCCACATCGGCACCTAATGCTGAAATAGACTTGCAACTCCTTTTGCAATGTGCTGATTTCAAGGTAGCCGTCTATTGGTGAAATTGCTGAATTGTAAGAGCACGCTCCTAATCCAGGGGGTCATGTATTCAACACGCTAAATTGAGAATAAGCCAGTTCGGTATTTCATGTGCACAGCGATTTGGGTCACAGGTCATTCAGCGTTATCAAACGTTTCAAAGAAGCATGAACGTAGGCCCACAACGCTTGCGTGTAAATTACCAGCAGAATGGGCGTGCGCGTAACATCGGGTAACATCACGTCAGCGATGTTATCGCGAATGACCTCGGGTCATTGAAATACCGAACTGGCTTTTTGCAGAATAACAATATGCACGGGGTTTGTACACTTTTTGTAAGCCGTGTTTGAAGGGAATGAGAGCAGTCTTGAGTTTGCCAGAAAGCGCCCTCTACTGGTGGAGCCCACTGCCACCTTCAGCGAATGAATAATTCACCTCTCCAAATGCATAATTCATCTCTCCTAATGCATAATTCATTTCTCCCCTCACAAACTGGCTCCCACCAGTTGCCTTCTTTTCCCTTGACTTCTGGCCTGTCGTCATACGGTAGCCTGGTGCTTTCTACTGGTACCCAGGAGGTTGGTTACCGACTCAACTTGGCCGGTTTAATCTTGGGCATCTTCTCATGAAATTTGGCATGATTTTGATTTTTCTGTTGAAGGAATTAGGGCTGTCCATTTTCGAATAATTTAGTATTCGATTACTCAAAACTGCGTTTGACTGATTATTTGGATATTCGAAACTGCCATCTGCAACTGCGCGCTGTGCCGGTAAAAAGTTGCACGAAGAGTGTGCTAGTTACAATTTGGCGTTGGAGTGTTTTGCAGTTGGTATTTTATAACCGTAAAAGGGCTTTAACCTGCTAAAAGGATGTGAACAAAGAACCACCGTTCGACAACAAAGTACCGTCGACAAAAAAAGCACTGCAACTTTACGATAAAATAACATCACAGTCGTGTGTGTGGCGTAGTTTTTTTTGTTTTCAAATATTCAAACCGACAAAAAGCTATTTGAATATTCGGTTGATGATCGAATATTCAACTATGCAGTATATTCGGGCAGCCTTGAATTGAATTTTCCGTTACGATGATTTTCTCTTTCTTTGATGCACATGAGCGATTCTATTTTATGGGATTATATCTTCACATCTTTTCTGTGGTCGTTTTGGTATTAAATCTGGGAAGCTTTTCTTGTCAAAAGTGTTGAATATTTTTTCTTATTTATATTGAAAAAAACAAACAAGCTACAATTATATCTTGCACGTAAAGGTTGTTGACAGGTTGTTTTTTTCTTCCTTCAACTGAAAAATGTCACTTTGATCTTTTTTTCATGTTGAACGTGAATGCCAGTTCCACGTCCTCTTTATTCAGAAATATTTACCTCACGCACCTTTGCATCTCTTTTCCAATCTCCACAACTTTGCTGAAGTTAAGTGGTTTGTGCTAACATTCATAGGATATCAAGCCTCGTGTTAAAGCCAGAGTCCATCATTTGCAGCTATCCGGAAAGTAACTGGCATATTATTGTTGAAAAACATTCTTGGTTGAAAGATAGTGAGGGGACTAAACTCCCTGTGAAATTATTCTCTCTGGCAAGCTGTCATTTTGAAGAAATCAACAAAAGAAGGCCTTTCCAACGGTGCTTCTTAAGAAGTACCGTAGGAAATTTAAATTAGTAGTTTGTTTTGTTATTTGGCGAAGCGCGCTCAAGCATTGGCACGATGCACACGCACCCGCGGTTGCTATAAATTGTCAGTTCAGTGCGCGACGTCGCGTAGCTGCAATCGGCTAGTGAGAACGTGTATCGGACGCTGAATTCAGGCCCAATTCAAAACATGGTTCAGCAACTTGTGATTGGAAATCACAATTACACAAGGATGGATGTTTCACTTGTGTGTCCTTGATTTACACCATAAACAAACCCACACTTACACCTTTTCTTTTTCTTGCAGCTTGTGGTTTGCATGTTATAGGGAGGTGGTATCAAGGTTTCACAGGTTCATTATTTCTACTTATGCTTTCAACTTGTGGTTGTGAGTTTTCAGGTTTTTTGCAAAATGAGGTTGAGGTGACGTCGAACAAAGAAAGTGCCTTGAATGTGAAATGTTGATGATTTGTTATATTTTTTTTTTTCAGTTTCCAGGATCGTTGGGTGCAAGTGAAGGATCGTCAATTGACCTTGACTTGGGACCTCCACTGGATTCTACCAGTGCTGGCAACTACAAGAGTATACAACTGGTCAGTATGGGTTGGTTGCAGTAAAGTTGAAGTCGTGCAGACTAGGTCGCAGTTAGGGTGGTTGCAGTTGGGGCGGGCGCAGTTGGGTTGGCTGCAGTTGGGTTGGCTGCAGTTGGGTTGGCTGCAGTTGGGCTGGCTAAAGTTGGATTGGTTGCAGTAGGGGTGGTTGCAGTTGGGGTCGGCTGCAGTAGGGTTGGTTGCAGTTGGGGTGGTTGCAGTTGGGGCGGTCGCAGTTGGGGTGGTCGCAGTTGGGGTGGTGGCAGTTGGGTTGGCTGCAGTTGGGTTGGCTGCAGTTGGATTGGTTGCAGTTGGGGTGGTTGCAGTTGGGGTCGGCTGCAGTAGGGTTGGTTGCAGTTGGGGTGGTCGCAGTTGGGGCGGTCGCAGTTGGGGCGGTCGCAGTTGGGGCGGTCGCAGTTGGGGTGGTCGCAGTTGGGGTGGTCGCAGTTGGGTTGGCTGCAGTTGGATTGGTTGCAGTTGGATTGAGAGTGAGGTAAAATCTTGATTTTTGGAACTTGTGTAGAGAAATGAAAGCAAGTAAATTACTAATTAATTCCAGTCTGCTTGAGCAATGAATAATTTTAAATTTGTAATTAAACGTTACCCATGTTGGCGGTTCCCCTGAACAAAGACATTGTCAAAATGGGGAGCCACCAACATATAGGGCTGAACAGCTCAGTTGGTAAAGCACCAGAATGGCAATCCGGAGGTCGCAGGTTCAAACCCCGCTGCAGTCAATGTCTTTATTCAAATTTCAAATATTAGGTTTGATTTTTTGTTAGAATTACATGAAGATTTGAAGCCTGAGCACAGTCAAGGCAATAAGAGACCTGTAATACCAGTCAGAACAGCAATCCTTCACATCGTTCCATTTCTCCTGCAGATTCTGATGAGACTCAGCAAGCTGTGTGTGTCGGAGGGAAGCGGTACCCGCAAGAACCGCAAACATGAGCAGCGACTGCTGAGGAACATGGGTGCATTCACGGTGGTCCTGGAGTTGTTACAAATCCCGTATGAGAAGGTACGCAGAACTAAGACAAACAGTAAAATTTGATATTTGTTTTACTGAAGATTATCAGTTTTTCTCATGTATGTTTATACAATATATTTGATCCTAAATAACTATTATGTGAAGCGTTCTGGTTTCCTATTGGTGCATTTTTTTTATTCAGACTCACAATCTAGAAATGTTTCACACCTTTAAAAGCCAACACTTTAGAGGCCCTTTATCACTTTTTGATTATTGGTAGATCGCAAAAAAATCCCAACTTTTAAAGTTGATTGGTTTCAAAGGAATGTAAATTTACAAAATTGCCACTGGCACTGTAGAGAGAATTTACTTGTTCAACAATAGAGGTTTTCGTTCACATTTATTACAGGCATGATATCAAATTATGAGCGTGTTGTTTTGTCCTGTGTTTTTTCATTGGAGCACTTTTTGTTCATTGCTCAACAGAACACCGATACCCGCATGAACGAGCTGATGCGATTGGCTCACGAGTTCCTCCAGAACTTCTGCTGGGCAAATCCCTCCAATCAGGTGTTGCTTCACAAACACATTGACCTCTTCCTGACACCTGGAGTAAGTACACCAATGGAAACTTTGACAAAATGCAGGTCCAATTTCATGGCATTGCTAAAAGAGCCTCTGCCTTAAGCAGTATGCACAAAGAATGTACAAACTTAAGGGACAGAATATGGTTTTATAATATTGATGTAATGATCAAAATCTCCATTCACGCCGTGAAATATGCTTAATTTAGCGCAACATTTCTGCTAACTGTTAAGCTGTGCTGTGTGACTGGCCCTTGGTGTATGGGGGAATGGCAATCAAAGTGTCTTATTTCTCTGTGCATTGTGACCCTTATCTAACCCATAGTATTTGTGTCTTTCCATTACCGCGCCTTGGCCCAATATATCTGAAACTGCAAATTTTTGTGTTTCTTAGCTCCATGGAATTGACACCTGTTCTTTTCTATTATTACCAGCTGTTGGAGGCTCAGACAATGTGCCACATCTACATGGACAACGTCCAGCTGTGTAGCGAGGTCACGGAGCAGGTGGTCCAGCATTTTGTCCACTGCATCGCCACCCACGGCAGACACGTCCAGTACCTCAAGTTCCTGCAGACTATCGTCAAGGCGGACGGTCAGTACATCAGGAAAACGCAGGATATGGTGATGGCTGAGGTGAGTTGAGGGTTACCTAGTCTTAGGGCCCAGACTGGATTTGAATCTTTGTTTCCCTAATGCAGCCGGGCCCTGTCCCTGGCAAGTACAGTCAAACCGTTGCGGAAGTTGGGGATGCTATCAACAAGATAAGTGCAGGCTTGGGAACTTCAACATTTTTAGAAATTCTTAGGTCAGGGGCCGATTTCACGAAAAGTCGTCTTATGTTGCAACTCATCTTAGGACGTAAGACGAGTCCCCGCTCTAAGATCGATCTTAGCTAAGACGCGTCCTAACACGATTTCACTAAACCCATCTTAAGCAAGACGCATCAAACTACCAATTTGATGACTGTTTCATGTTTGTTTTCACTGCTTGATTAAACAGTCGTTAGAAAAGAAACACGCAAAACCAACTTTCCGTGCGTATGTATAGAACACAAACTTTTGCCGGAAAATTTACTCCACTCAATAAAGATCACGTGCAAGGTTGGTCTACACCAGATACGATAGAGTCGTTCTTGCTCCCCATTTCATCACTCTATTTTTGAAAGATTCGACTAGGTGTTGGCGTATAATTAAGCTTCAATTGATTAAAACTACCCACGTGTCAGAAATCGTTTCAAATCTGTTTCTAAAGCGAAACTATAACTAATTAATCACAAGTCAGCCATTCCTAAGTGACAAGCTTGAAGGGTCAACCTAGTCAGTTTCTCCTGCGTGATTGAATTGATAAAAAGTAGTTATAAGTAATCAAGATCATCTTGAATATTTGTTTTCCAGCTTGTCAATGCGGGAGAAGACGTCCTCCTCTTCTACAACGACAAAGCCTCCTTCCAGATGTTCATCAACATGATGCGCAATGAGCGGGAACGCATGGACGCCTCCAGTCCCTCCCAGTACCACATCAACCTGGTCTACCTACTGGCCTGCTGTACCGAGGGCAAGAACGTCTACACAGAGATCAAGTGTCACTCCCTGCTACCGCTGGACGATATCGTCAGAGTGGCCACCCACGAAGACTGCTTGCCTGAGGTGGGTGGTCTTGGTCTATGCCTGGATTTCGACTTTGTTCCCCTTTATGCAGCTAGTCTGGTCCTTGGAAAGCACCGGTGCAGTAATCCACTGTGGGCACTGTCAACAATATGAATCAAATTCTGTCTTTGAGAAAAATACTGAGCATACCTCAAACGTGTTGTATTCAAGCTAATATGCGTGCATGAGGCATGCTTGGAATTTCTTGGGTCGCAGTGCCAAACTTCCCAAGACTAGATTTGATTCATCCAGTTGATAACTCCCTCTGCTGCCACCATGCTAACTCAAGAGATAAGTTCCTCCAGGATTTCTCAACCAAATTTTCTTAAAATTAATTCGAAATTCCCAATCTTCAAATTTTAGTTTATACACCATTAACTCATTGATCACAGCCGAGCCATTGTAGTGATGCACACAGTTTTTAGTGCTGTGTACTGGAGGTTTTTTCCCAGGATTAATTACATTTGTAGATTTTGTGGGATCAGACATTTACTTGTAACATTAATATTAAGCATTATGGGAAATGGTACCTTTAACAGGGAGACATTCCCATTCCCAACTTTAATGACCCCTAACCTTAATGACCCCTAAGGCCAAAAAAAAAAATAAGTCGGTCTCTGGTCAGCGCGCGCGTCGATTTTAATCATGCGCGTCGATCTTTTTTTTTCTCCAAAATGTTCCGCGGTAGCTCCAACAGCGCCCTCTATTTCAGCACCTCCTCAAGTTTTTTTTGCCAAAGAGCACCAAGGAATGGGAAATTGCACCAAGGCAAATGAGCGAAAGCACCAAGGCAAATTATGGAGGACACCAATGTACATGAGGACACCAAAAAAGCAAAATAGTACCCATCTTGTCTGTACAATCCAAGCTTGAAGAAAAAAAAACAAATCCGCGTGGCCGCGTCAATTCCGGAACTTTGGTCTGACCAGAGACCGAATATTTTTTTTTTTGGCCTTTACCCCAATTTTCCCTTATCCTACCCCCATTAATTTCGATATATTTATGTTTCGGACCATGAGCAATCGATCTAGCATATTTGCGAAGGCAACATTTTGCTTCTAAATAGGAGCTGTGACATTAGGGAGACGTTGAAATGTCTCCTTAATGTCCGGTGTCTCCCTAAGGCATAACTTATGTCTCCTTAAGGGTTCATTAACAGGAATAATAACCCTCAAAAATTTCATAATTTTTAATAATCTTGTTATCAATTTTCAAGTTCTTAAAGTTGTCATTCATTGTCACTTTTATTCATAGGTGAAGAATGCCTACATCAACTTCCTGAACCACTGCTACGTAGACACCGAGGTGGAGATGAAGGAAATCTACACCAGCAATCACGTCTGGAATCTCTTTGAAAACTTCCTGGTGGACATGGCCATGGTAAGCAGTGTTGTAGCAGAGTCCAATCCCAAGTCCTCACAAGTCCTCACAAGTCTTCACAAGTCCGTTGTAGCAGTAGTCCAATCCCAAGTCCTCACAAGTCCTCACAAGTCCTCACAAGTCCTCACAAGTCCGTTGTAGCAGAAGTCCAATCACAAGTCCCCACAAGTCCTCACAAGTCCATCACAAGTCCTCACAAGTCCTCACAAGTCCTCACAAGTCCTCACAAGTCCTCACAAGTCCTCACAAGTCCTCACAAGTCCTCACAAGTCCTCTCAAGTCCTCACAAAGTCCTCACAAGTCTATCACAAGTCCATCACAAGTCCATCACAAGTCCTCCAGTCCAAACTCAAATCACAAGCTATTCAATTAGACTGTGATAAAGTTATTGTCCATCCACTTGTGACTGGACTTGTGATTTACCTGTGACCGGACTTGTGATCCAAATAAACTGTGATGAAGTAATTGTCCATACGCTTTTACTTGCGACTGGACCTGTGCATTACTTATTACCGAACTTGCAATTCACTTGTGACTGGACTTATGATTTACTTTTGACCAGACTGGTGATGGGCTTGTGATGAGCTTGTGATGGATTTGTGATAGATTTGACTAAAAGTCTAATGAAAAGTTCAAACTTGTTTTGGAGACCACTTATTACAAGGGATGAATATTGCACAGGTATGCACAGTAGTACTGGGTACGCGATCCACAGATGCAGGCAAACAGACACACAAAGCTGTGTTACGTATGAAAGCAGAACCCACCAAAAACAGGCCTTGCGGCATTATTTGCGTGAGCAATTGGTGAACACACACATGTGCAGGCAAGCCACTTCTCAGTAAGCAGTGATATCCATAAAACTCTTTGAGAATTTGTTTGTGAGGGGTTATGAAACAGTTGGAACAAATGTTGACTACGTTAACTCATGCTGTTAAACTCTTCTGCATCCATGTACCTTGCTATGTTTTATATTCCCTCAGCTGTGCCACGGGAGAGGCTAATCTTTCTATACCACTCAGAAACGGTCAATATTTGTATCAGAAGATAAACAGTGATGCTTCAAAAGCTGTGGGCGTAGTTAATTGGCAAAGTTCCATATTTGATCTGTAGATAACTCACTGCATTTTTTTGTCATCCTAAGGTGTGTAATGCGACCCACGACCGCAAGCATGCAGACCACATGCTGGAGAAGTACGTGACGGAGACGGTCATGAACATCATCACCATGTTCTTCAGCTCACCGTTTGCCGAGCAGAGCACAACAGTGCAGGTACTTGCAACTGGGGAATAGTTTTCGACAGATGTTGTCTTACCTCCCCCTCTCTTGTAAACCAATTGTTTTAGAATCAAGTGCCAAAAAAAGCCAAATATTTTGTGTATTATACAACGCCTGAATAAAGACCAGTTATCTGATTGTTTGGTCGTTGATCACGTGACATTGAATTACACGTCCCAACGCACGGTGGGGCAGCACAGCAAAAATAGAAGTTCTATTCCACGGTAAATGGAAGTTCCATTGCAGGGTCACACTTTTGGCGACTCTGACCGGCTCTGAAAATTTGACACTACATTACAAACTTATGTTTGCCTTGGCTCCAAGAACGAACCCCACCTTTCAGCCAGAAGATGATTGCAAGAGGATTTCTTGTATTGGGTGTTGTGTCCAACAGTTGGTATCCAGCTTTCATGAATTGAATCCTTGTATCAATTGCAGACCAGACAGCCTGTCTTCGTCAGGCTTCTTCAGGGAGCCTTCAGGGTGTCGCAGTGTGACTGGCTGACAGGACATCAGAAGTACCACGTGGAGAACTGCATCAAAACGCTGACCGATATAGGTAGGCCCACATACCCTGCCAAATAGAAGCTTTGTATTTGCCAATTCGCAATTTCCAGGTGTGCTGACTTTGTTAGCTTGTGACTTTGGGCATGATCCCTGCCCAAGTTGCTCACAAGGGGATATGGTAAGAACATTGAAAAAGTCAGATTACCGTCAGCAACGGACTGGATACTCATTTCGTAGAAAGCCGGTGCTGGTGTTCCACGGGTCACAGTTTAAAATTCACGTTTTGCTAAACTAACTCTTAATCATTCATTTTGTCTATTTTTTGACAACAGCTGAAACATTTTCATGACCCCTTTGTTTAAAGTCCAGTTAAAACTCCGCACAGAGCATTTAGGAGGAATTCAATCCAAGATCCAAGATTGTGCATAGACTGTTGTGTTAGTAGTTTAAAGACTATTTCAGTGTGCCTTGCAGCTGATAGGATAGTTAAGTCGTCAAATATACTTTGCCATCATAACATATAAAAACAAGCAGTTTCTCCAATGTGAACTTTTTAAATTTGCCAAATATCTCTAACATTTCAAAGACATATATAATACAAGTGAGTGCTCTTTATCATGAGATATAGAGCAGCAGTATTGTATTCAAGTCCATCACAAGTCCCTCAGTCTCGAGTCCAGTCACTAGCTATTCAAATGAACTGTAACAAAAGCATTCCTTTGTCATTGTTCATCCTGTTACTTGTGACTGGACAATAAGAAAAGACTTGTGATGGACTCGACTACAACACTGCAGAGCAGTCTTGCCAGAGTTTGCCACAGGTTTTCAAGAAGTGCGAGCTCAAGTCCCAATAATTTTGCAAAAGCTTGGACATTTCAGCATTCCTGTTTATCCGAATGATCAGATTCTTGACTGCAATCAGAAGCCCAAGTACTAAAGACCACACTACCTTTTTTCTTGAAGTATTTCTGTACCATCTCATTTTCTAGTGTACTTGAAGGACTTAGGGTAAGGACGTGACTACAGTACTGTTAGGTTGTCATTGTAAATGATTCTGTCATGGTTTTTAGCCAAGAATCGCGGCATTGCCATCCCGGTGGATCTCGACAGCCAGGTCAACACTCTCTTCTCCAAGTCCATCATGGTGATGAAGCACACACGGCACTGGCTGAGCCATAACCCTAACCGCAGGAGGGACTCCATGGTGGCTATATCCAGAGACTATCGCAGCATCATTGAAGGATTGCAGGTAAGACACATGGCAGAGTAGTTAAATTACAGGCTTCCAAGTATTCCTACTTTTCCTACTTTTTGTTTACCTTGCTCCTACTTTTTTTAAATTCCTACTCTTTCCTACTTTCTTGTCCCACAAGTCCGAAAAATGAAATCTCATTAAATATTTTTCATAACAGTGTTACACACTGTCATATATGTAAATCATACAATGAAGGGCTTGGGCGCAGCAGTACTGCAACTGTACTTCCAAGAGCTTAGTTGAGGATGGAGCACAAGTGTTGTGAGTGCTCAATATGCCAAAGGCATTTTGGACATGGGTGAGTATCAACGAAAACTACTCCTGAAAGCCTACAAAAGTACTACTTTTATCCTGATTTTTGTCCTCAAAGGCCCTAGTTTTGTCCTATGTTTTTTTTTAAATTGTTATCCTACTGTTCTACTTTTTCACCTGGGTCTGCTTGAAAGCCTGTCAGAAATATGATGAAGGAAGTGAAAATACCCAATGCAATGGGCCTATTGAGGTCAACTTCCGACAACTTTTCCACAACAATTTAATGAGATGACTCATAATGTGTTCTCATTATGCTCAAAGCAGCTCAATTCTGTACTATTGCTGTTCTGCCCATTTTGAAGACGCACTTGTCTCTCTGCTGATTTCCCCAGGACATTGTTTCCCTTCTTGAGGACCAGCTGAGACCGTTAGTCCAAGCTGAGCTCTCTGTCCTGGTCGACGTGCTGCACAGACCAGAGCTGCTTTTCCCTCCCGGCACAGAGGCAAGACAGAAGTGTGAAAGTGGAGGCTTCATCAGCAAGTGAGTTTGGTCTCTGCTTTTCCAGAAAACAAAGAAACACTAGTGGTTTATCATAGATCCTCCTGTGGTTTTGAGAGGATCGATATAAGTGAAGTGTTTTGTCAAAAGCCAGAAACTTCTGGGCAGAGCTTGAACAACAACCCCCCCCCCCCCCAATAAATAAATAAACTTGGGGAGAATCGTTAACTTTCATGTGTTCTGTCAAAATCAGAAGCTTTTGAACATAACTTGAAATGAATATATATGACCAAAAAAAGGAAGGATGATTTTCTCCATTTTAGAAATTTATTTGAGAAAAACAATTACATTTTGATCCCTACTCATGTCAATTGTCTTCGTTCACTCTGAAGTTGATTAGATCGCCTGTACAATCGGTTCCCCTTGCAAAATTGTTTCAAGTTACATTCTATTACATTCCGTTTGGTTTGTCTCATGGAAGCCCAATTTTTCTTGTGTTTTCCCGACAGGTTGATCAAGCACACGGAGAAACTCCTGGAGGAAAAAGAGGAGAAACTCTGCATCAAAGTGCTGCAAACACTCAAGGAAATGATGACTGTGGATATAGATTACTCCGAGAAGGTAAAATACAGGGATCCCTCCACTCACAGTGGACATTTCCCCCAAAGTGTCTGTCATTAGAGATCAACCCGTACAGAAAGTCAGGGAAAAGAACTTTCAACTGTTCTAACGTGACAATATATTCGTTTTTTTCTGATTTTGTTTTGTAAAAAGTCATGGTCACAACACGGTGTTGATTTTTCTAACAAGTCAGCCGATTTGTTTCACACCAAAGTGTCAAAAAGCCAGATTTGTTCGTTTTCTTCATATTTCAGTGATCTTGAATTGCGCCCTTCCATTCAGTGACACGTCCTGCTGAATTGCTGTGCAGTTTTTTACGTCTTTCATTTCAACTTCTGTTGAGCAAACCCATGCGGTTTTGTTTTGTGCAACAGATCTCATACTTTCCAAAAGTGCAAAAAGGATTGACTGCTTTTTCCTTCAAATGATTGACCATATTTTAATTAGGAAGAGAAGGTGTGGCACTTTTATTTATTCCAATGAAATCTGCAGTGCTTCATTTTGATGCAGTTGTTTCGTGCAGCTGACGTGGTTTAGTGCAGCTGAGTTGCTGAAGATATTTTCCCTTTATTTTGTTTTGTTTATTTTTCTAATTGGTCATTACTAGTCTTAACAGTCTTTAGATACATTAAAGTCAAGATTTTTTTTCTTTTAATTTCACGTAGCAACGTTCCACTCTGCCTGCAGCAGTATTACTCACCTTGATCCAAAAATTTAACTTGCTTGGTCATCCCAAGTCCTTCTTTTAATGACTAGCCATACTCAAAAATATCTAAATAGGTCACCTATAAGGGTGTGTGCATTGGAACCAGGTACCCGGGTACCCGATCGATGATGATGTTCCAGATATGGGATCGGGTACCCGAAAACAAATTTACAAATTACGTAGTAATTCTCAGAAAATGAAAAAGGTTTTGAATGCTATTTGTGGCGAATTTTCAAAATACAAACCGGGATACATGAAAAACCAAAACAGATTTCACGTTTATGTGCATTGTAACGCACGACATACAACGTTTGCGAAAGTTGCAGTTTACACTGTAAAGCTATAAAGCTCTTTAGACAACTTCCGGGATTTGAATTTTGGGGTTGGGTTTCTTTGACCGGTACCTGGGTACCCGTGTTTTACTACTATAGGGTACCCGTACCACCCGTAAATGCACACCACTAGTCATCTAATGATTACTACCAAAAAATTTAAATGAACAATCCCCTCTTAACTACAAAGGGCATGACATTCAAAGGCCACTGTGGAGAGCCGTGGTTCAGTGGTTACCATGTTCCACCCTTATGACATGGTATGGGTTTGAACCCTGACAGGGAACATGGTGCTTGTGTCCTTGGGCAAGACACTTTACTACAATTGCCTCTCTCCACCCAGGAGTATAACTGGGTACCTGTGAGGGTAGAGACCAGATTGCGTTGATTTCGGCTGTAGAAAAGTGGTCTCATGGCCTGATGACCAGGGGTGATACATGTAATTTCAAAGCCCTTTCAGACCTACCTTTGGTGGAAAGCGCTAGCTGAACACCATATGTTATTAGTTTAAGCAAACCCTGTTTTTTTTTCTTCCAAAATGGTGCTTCGGTGAGATAGCTTCAAATTTGACCTCATGTCAAAGGTTATGGGTCATCTGGTCCAATCCCTTAACAGTGTCCTCCCCAACTCTTTAACACCGCATGCCTGTCCCATTTTCCCACCATGTTTTCATCTCACCCATAAACAATCTGGCTCATCGTCAGGCCCAGGAGGTCAACACGCAGAACATGACTAAGAAACAAGTGGAAGATGCGGCTAGGGTAAGACTGGGCTGTCCCAGCATGCAGTGCTGTTCCTCTCTCCCCACCCCCCCCCCTTTCTCTCTCCCCTTCAGCATGAAGAGGGGAGGTGTATTGTTGTGCTGCCTTTTTTTTTTTGCATGTTTCTGCTTCGTTGAGTGAATACATGTCCTTTGCCTTTTTTGTTGTTGATAGTTCGAGCATTGTGTGTAGTCAATTAGATTTTTGCTGATTTTCTTTTGATTTTTTTGTTTGGGGGGGGGTAATTGGGGGAGGGGATTTATTGGCAAGGGGTGTCACCTTTATAATATTTGAGGTCAGTTATTACATGTATATGGATCTAGCACTGTGTTTGCTGTTGTTTGCATTGCAAAGTGATCTGTGTTTTGCTCTGACGCTGAAGTATAGACCTTTATCATGCTGCCACCATTTTAGTCATGTTTCCAGTATCCAATAACAGTACTGAATGACAATTTTTGTGTGTGCAAAAAGGAACCAGACTATTTTTTCCTTCCAACCTCTTTTTGGTAACGTTGATTCGAATGGGAAAAAATCAAGATGGCCGCAACATGATAATGGTCTATTGTTGATGAGTATTTCACAGTGTTTTGATCAAGTCATTACAAACCATAGAGCCATACTAAATTACTAGAGTGCTGACTCGATGTACAAAGTGATGCCTGCTGGGCGCATCCACGTTTGTACACAAACCTATAGAAAACTCGAAATTTTATCCAGCTTTTGTACAGCTATTTACATGTCTGCGTTTGTATTCCAAACAGTTGCGTTATCAAAGCCGATACGCCCCAAACCAAAATGTACAATCAGTAAATGAGCGTTTCATTTTGCTCTGCTGCATATCTGCTGCATATCTGCTGCAGATGATTTTTGCCGTGACGTTTTTTAACCGTCATGACGCACTTAAGTTGTTTGCCTATGCTGTTCTTGCGCATTGCATTTAGAGTACAATTTCATACACTCCATCTAATTTTGTTATGTTTTACGAACACGCACATTAATTCAAAATGTCTGCGCCCAGGACGACTTCAGATTATCCCCGTGTGTAAGAATGAGGAGTTAGCGCTTTGTAGTTAAATATGGCTCTATGTTACGAACCAATCGCAAGTCTTGTCAAAAGTCTTGATGAGGCTCAATTGAATTGTGACCAAGGCATCCTTCAGTTACTTGAAATCCTTGTGATCAACTTGTCATCAACTTGTGATTGAGTTGTGACAGACTTGTGATCGGCTTGTAATCAATGTGCGATTGACTTGTGATTATATTGTCATTTGACTGTCGTTATTTGTGATTGGCTTGACGTTATCAACTCTGGTATTTCCTTCAATAGACTTTCCATTTGTGAGCAGTGTAATAGGCAACATGCTTATGCCCCATCTGTTTGCATTTTAATTGATGTTAGAATAAGGACAAGAACACGTTGACCTTTCCTAGATATGTCACTGAAAACATCAATTTGCTTACCCCATTCTAAATCACCACAACTCAAAACATGACTTAAGAAGAATTTTGAGCACTTTTTACAGCCTTAGGCCACAAAATCAAATCCCATTGTTTTGTGGCGTGTAACAGTTGTTATTTGAACTCCCATTTTCAAGAGGCTATGGGAGACTGGCAGTGTGTGTTAAGTGCTAGTAATTCACATTAATGTTTCTTTTGATTGCTTTGTGTGCTGTGTGAAGTGTTGTACATTTAAGCAATGTTTGCAATCAATTTAAAAAAGAATTGTTCTCATACATTTGGGGTGGAGTGGAGTGGGAATTGAAATAAGTGTTTTGACAGTGCCTTATGTAGTGAACTTCCAAAACATTTTCAACACCCAAATGTATTCTTGTATCTCCAAGAAGTACAGCAATTTTCTGCTTTTTATTCACAGATCGAGAATGGTCTATTTTTGTTTTGCCTGAATTTGAGACTGCGGCCTTTTGTGTGCATGGAATTGGGCTGAACAAGTCTGAAGATTTTAATCAAACAACATTGCAGAAAGAATAAGTCTGCGGTTGTACCATGTGACATAACATCTCTCTAGTAAGTTTGTGCGGCAATGAAATAAACAGGTTAAAACTCAATATGTCAGACAGTATGCTCTGCCCATTGTCTGGAGACAATGGGCAGATCATACTGTCTGAATGGTTGAGTTTCCTGGGTTTTTTTTCAAAACCCCACAAACTTGGAAAAGAGATTTCTTGTCACACGGTGCGACTACAAACTTACTCTTCTTGCTGACTTTACAGTGGAAACCTTTTAATCTTATCAAATAACATTACTGGAACAAAGATATCGGTGAATTGGGGAACCGCCAACATAGGGCTGGATAGCTCAGTTGGTAGAGCACCGGAACGGTAATCCGGAGGTTGCAGGTTCAAGCCCCGCTCTAGTCAATTTCTTTGTTCAACGTTTCAAATAAACATCACTGTTTGTTTATGTTGCCAGGGAGAGGACCTGCGACAATGTCTCCTCCTGCGTTACTACGGCAAGTCTCACCTACGCATGAAGCACGAGGGGTCGTCGCCAAGCGGCAGAGGTCAAACCAACGTGACCAGTTCCGGCCCCGGCTCCGTGGTGCTCAGCAGGGCTGAAATGACACTGGCTGAGGTGAGGGACATTTGTGAAGAAGATGAAAGGCCGGTTCACTCTAGGCTCTGTAACTGGGTTCAGCAGGTTGTTAACTAGACAGGTTGTAGGCTGGTGAAGAGAGTCGGGCAGTGCTATTGTATAGGATTACCCCATAATGGGCTGAATTTGGTCCATTGTGTAGACCTGGGGCCAATTCCATGACACTGCTTAACAGCAGAAAAGTTGTGCTAACCTTAAGCTCATGGCATGGATGTGCTAAACGCAACCCATTTGCCCTTGCACCGCCCCAAACCGCCTTGACTGTTACTCCTCATACCGCCCCAAACTGCCCCAGCACTCTGTGGTATTATGGAGGAGTAAATACAATGTAATGCAATTTAATACAAGTGCTAAAGGGTTAAGCTCATAGCGTGGATCTGCTAACGGTTTACCTGCACATGGAGATTTCTGTTGTTTCGTCACTGATTTCAACCAACTTTTCCCTCTTAGGTAAGCGTGCCTTTTGGTGTGCTTTTACTGCTTACGATCTCCATGAAATAGACAGAGGCTCTGTTTGTAGAGAATTAGGCCATCAGCCTCGGTCCAAAATTTTGGCAACTGGTATCAAATGAGGGGAATAATCGTCATAGCGGTTTTTGGCAAGGTATACACCTCCAGAGTTGGAAAATATGTGATAGCATTGCAGCGGTGGCAGCTTTTTAGGTGTTATCACCCTTTTTTCAAAATGTTCATCAAAATGCTTGTTACCACTCTAGGGGCAGTGTACCTTGCGCATGCGCACTATAATCATTTATGCCCTGATTTGATACTGACCAAACCCCCAGGCTGATGGCCTAAATTGCGTGCTTAGCAGCGCCATGAAATTGGGCCCAGATGCATGAAAACACTCCCAGTAAATAGCCACTCTGAATCGATTAAATCAAATTGTGTGTGTGCACTGGGACCAGCTTGTCTAGGCTTGCCGTGTATCCTTTCCCCGACAGGTGCAATGTCAGCTGGACAAGGAAGGTGCCTCATCCCTGGTGATTGACCTGGTCATCAAGAACAGCAGCAATCGGGTCTTCCTGGAGAGTGTGGAGCTGGGGATTGCACTGCTGGAAGGGGGTAACACCAACATACAGGTAGGATAGTCAGTCTGTCTGGAGGCGCAGCAATATATCAGTGTGGCTTACCTACCTGCTTTACAGAAGCCTCAAAGCAGCATACAAAATATCAAAACACCCCCTCCTTCTTCAACTCAAACCACAACATTTAACCGTTGTGTCGATCTTCCTGTCATTCTCCACCCCAAAATCGACAGAAAAAAGTTCTTAGAATCAATAAAGTTTTCTTCAAATTGCACATTTTGTGGCACCAAACATTTGTCAAATGTTCCTTTACACCTATTTCCTGCAAAAAAAATGTCAATGGCCTCTTACATTCACGATTGTGCAACTCCAAAATTTGTGGAGAAATTTCTTAAAACTTTTGATATTCCTCACACTCTCCCCCCAGAATATCAAAACTTCATACAAGCCCCTCCCCTCCCAAAAAATATCCCTCCATAACTTGTTATGGAGGCGATTCTTGTGGTATCTGATTGGAGTTACGTAATGTCATTCTCACAAGGTCAAAACTTAGTCAGCTCTCTGAACTCAAACTTGTTCATGTTCTATTTTGATTTTTCTATTTTAAGTTGTAAAAAGTTCCCTCTGTCTCTTCTAAAATAAAGTTTCTTTGCCTTCATCTTCAATTTCCTTTTAAAAAAAATTTAATAACTGTGTCATCTTGCAGAAATCCATCATCAACTGCCTGATGTCCGACAAGAACTCGGAGAAGTTCTTCAAGGTCTTCTTTGATCGGATGCGAGAGGCCCAGGCCGAGATCAAGGCCACGGTGACAGTCAACACCGGCGAAGGAATGGGCAACAAGCCCACGGAGGAAGGAACGGCAGCACCCAAGGAGACGGCTAACATTGGCCGCATGAGGAGGGGTGGGTGCTACTTCTCCTGGGGGGTGGGGGGGAACAGTTTTGTCACAAGTCATCCAGTCCTAAGACAAGTCACAAGCTATTCAAGAAAACTGTAACAAAGGCATTCTGTTGTTATTATTCAATCTCTTGTAACTTGTTAGGCCCGCTCTAGACGCCGTGCTACTGCCATGCCGAACTCAATTATTTTGACTTTTGGTTTTTTTTCAATTAAGTTTGGCGCGGCAGTAGCACGGCGTCTAGAAAGGGCCTTAGTGGACTTGTGAATGAACTTGCAATTTTCTTGTGGTCTGGTTCCCTGACCCCAGTTAAGATTAAACGGAACACTTTTTAGACATTGGGTAATTGTAAGGTTAGGGAACCAGTCTAGCTGGCTTGTACCGTTGTTCACAGGGTAGTAATCAGTTGCGAAGAAAAAACTAAAAATAATAAATACAAAAATAACACTTTTCTTGAAAATGACAGCACACCAGGTGTCGTGATTTTACAGGATGCTTTAGACTGTCATACACTAACAGTCCAGTAAGGTATTTCATAATAATGTGGTAGTTTTGTTTTTCGATGTTTGCAAATGTTGTATATTCCCTTAAATAACTGGATGATCAAAGTTTTAAAACCTATGCCTTTTTAATTATTCATCACAAAAAAACACATAAGGTAATGGACTAGGTTCAAAAATCTGGCCCTAATATGAGGTAGAACAATTAAGAAATTAACTGGAGCAAGATTTTAATCTATGACCTCTGCAGCACCATACCAGTGCTCTAACATTATTTTTTTTCTTTATATATGTTGTAAAAAACAGAGATTTGAAAATGCATATCGTCTGTGACAACAGGCATTTCAGTTTTGGCCGCTTTTTGTCTTGGAGATCAGTAAGCGGTTAATTAATTATGACTTTTGATGATTTTGAAATGTGTTTTCAGCTGGACGCGTCCCCAACGGCTCAATCAGCGACGAGCTGAAGGATCAGTTAGCAGATGCTGCCCTGCACACCAGCAAAGCCTTTGCGGCAGTCCGCAAGGGTCGCGACGACGACCCCACTGGCATCATGCCAGGTTTTGAGGTGCTGGGCGGAGCCGAGAAGGCTAAGGAGGAGGAGAAGGCGATGAGCATGGAGATTGCCATCATGCAGCCCATCCTGAGGTTCCTACAGCTGCTGTGTGAGAACCACAACAGGGAGCTGCAGGTAGGTGATCACATGCACGTCACATGCATTGAACCATGTGTGTCATATGTTAGTCACATGCATGGCACACGTTGGTCACATGCTTCTCACATGTCAGTCACATGAATCTCACATGTCAGTCACACACACATTACACTTAGCAGTCACATGTGTAACACATATCAGTCACATGCATCTCATATGTCAGTCACATGTGTCTCACATGTCAGTCACATGCGTATGATATGTCATTCACATGAATCTCACATGTCAGTCACACACATTACACTTAGTAGTCACATGTGTAACACATATCCGTCACATGCATCTCATATGTCAGTCACATGTGTCACACGTGTCAGTCACATGCATCTCACATGTCAGTCACATACGCCTCACACGTCAGTCACATGACCATCACACGTCAGTCACATGACCATCACATGTCAGTCACATGCGCATCAGATGCTAGATATGTTAACGCTGTCCAAAATGTGTTGTCTTGAACCGCTTTTTTTTTTCAATTTTAGTCTCATGCATAGGACATGTGGGTCACATGCATAACACCTATCAGTCACATGCATTGCACATGTTCCTTACATGCATTTCCCATGGTCATATACATGTCTCATGTCGATCACACGCATGTCGTATGCCAGGCACATATTTGCTAATCACAGAATGACAAATGTAAGCCACATGCCCTCCACTATATTTTTGATCTACAATGGGCAAGCGCAGGCATGTTGTACATTAGGGTGGTTATTAACTGATCTAGGGTATCATCCATTGTTGAAAGTCAAATGCATGTAACAAGCACAAAATCACATGTAATTCACATGATCAGGCTGTAGTCATTAACACTGACATACATGACATAAATGACACACATAATAGGCACAGTGTATTACTGTGGATGAGATGATGTCTTACAGTGGTATCATGTCGCAGTACGTAGAATTATAGATGCATGGTTTTTATTTTACCCATACATGTAGGCTAGGTATTTGATGACGATGGTTAGATATTCCGTCATGTTGTGAGGTCACTGCTACATGAGATTTATGTTACCAAGTGCACATACAAATCACAAGAACGTGTAGCTGTGTGAGAAGCAGATTTCGCACCATGTAACATAAATCCTCATCACCGTCATCGAACAGTATTATTTTAATATCACTGGTCCACATGTCTAGATGTACTACTCACCGGCAACAGAATCACATTTGGTGGACTATTCAGCTTGCGTAGCCTGCGAAAGTTTTGGTAGTTGAAGAACAAAAGTAGATCAGAGGTTTTGCATGGTGAAGTGATAATGTGGCACATTTAACAGAAACGCCTCGTGGATGGTCTTTGGATGTACGTGTACTGTTGATACCCTTGTCTGATTTTAGTTGAAGATGTTGTGATAACAGTTTGTTTTGGTTTGGTTCATTGTCATAATGTGTATACTGTTACCTTCCAGAAAAAAAATTGAAGGGGAAAAAAAAGAAAAATGGTACAGCGTTGTCCAAAGAGCAGATGCTGCCTTTTACAATTTCTGACTTCATCAATAAAATGCATCAAATCCAGTCGACGGAACTTTGGCAAGCAGACCTGAGACATTCTGAGCATTCCTCGTGTGCATGTATTAGCATTAACAAAGTACACATGAGGTATGCTGGGAATGTCTTGGGTCTGAGTGCCGAGATTCCCAACACTGGATTTGATTGTCTTGTTGATAGCGCCCTCTATCGCAGCTGTGGCATTGCTACACTTGGCTGAGAGGGACTGGCAGTGTTAAAACAAGTAGAGAAACATAATCCTGAATCCCTCTGGATATTTTAATTCTTAATTTTGGTTTTTGGGGTTTTTGAGTTTTTTTTTTTTTCAATTTTGTTTATTTCTTTATTTTTGTATTTACCCTTCCCTGATGAAATGCTATAAACACGAGATGATCAGTACATTCCTAGAGATTATGAGAAAATTTGTTAAGTTGATCAGGCAGGACTCGAACCTATGACCCCAGCTTACTAGTCAAGACATTGTACCACACAACCAGCGGGCTTTGCCCGGGGTCATCTTGTTAAGACGGAGATTCGTTCATCACTAAAAGTACATGAATGGATTGAGAGTGGCTGAAAAAGAACAATTACACCCTCAAATAAGACAGATCTTTCAGAAAGGCAAATTGCATCTTGTTTTTTTTCATGCTGAGGCGCAACTGAAAAAAATTAAGTCCCCGACAAGTAAGAAATGGAAGAATGACCAGCTGTTTATTCCAAAAGTATTTAATCTTTGTACATCATCAGAACATAATGAAAACAATATTTTTTGGAAGACCACATTAAATGCATGATGTTTTCTTCCATAATATGTTTGCAGGAAAAGATTCATTCAATGTACTTTTTTTTTTTAGCTGAACAACATCCGTTTCAATAATTTAACTGACTTGTCTGATAAAAGATCCGGCAGTAAGTATATGTATCAGCTTCAAGTCGAACTGTTCAGATCAGGCCCGAAGGATGTGTGGTCCTGTTTGTTACGTTCGTGTATTGAAAATCCTGCCCAACAAGTGTTGTCATAATTGTGTATACCCCACTGCAGAACTGGCTTCGGCAGCAGCAGCATGTGGTTGTCAAGACATCGGGAACTTCGGTTTGTGAAAAAAATACCTTTTCACACACCCCCCCCCCCCCTCCCCCATAGACACCCTCTCCTCTGCAACTCTCTTCGCCATACTCTATGTCAGCAGTTCTAGAGTCCGAGTACCCCATCCCACAGACTTGGTGTATATATGTGATCGTTTAATCCATTCCCCCAGTCATCTTTTCAGCACATGTAGTTTTTGGGAGTTAGTCGTGTTGTAGATGATACTTGTCCTTGCACTAGGTTGAAGTCATACCATACATAGCACTAATTGTTCTGTGGTTTAAGACAGTAGGATGACCCCTTTTTGTCCTACACATTTCAAGGTTTAGTTGTGTTAACCTTAACCTTCCAAAATCCTCCAAAATCCTCTTTGCAAAATGGAGGATTTTGCAGGATTGAGGCAATGATAAGGCAAAAATGTGAGGCTGATTTTGGAGGATGCACTGTGTCAATGTCTTGGGCCGGACCTTGTGTGGTTTATGCATAGATTTAGGCCTAAATTATACTTGAAATACTCCGCACTGCTCCAGGATGTCACTGGCTCTGCCTCCAAATTTTGACAGTGATTGCTAGAGATTTTGCCGGATTAAGGAAGTGATCACTCCTCCAAGAACAATATTCAAGAAATTACGGAGGATTTTGCAGGATTGAGGCTGTATGCAATTTTCACATGGAGGCAATTGGAGGATTTTGCAGGATTGAGGTTACATCCTTGCAAAAATACCTAGGGAGGGTTAATCTGGGTATTTTAACGCACGCCTTTGGCTGGTCCTTGTTATCTCTGTTGGCCAAACGCAAAGAGAAAACAATGAACTCAATCCCATGCCATATAAAACACACTGATTTATTAAGCTGCAGCATCAGCAACTTCTCAATGCTCACTCCCTGAATTCAGTCTTTCATCTGCCCCCTGGCTAGACAACTTACAACCGTTTTTAAGCAATGTACAAGGGGTGATTGATAAGTTCGTGGAGTACGGTCGAAAGAGATGAGCTATAGAGTTTTGACTGATATTGTGCGCATTTTGACTTGTTGAATGATTACACAGAAAATTTGAAGTTATTATCTTTTCTTGTTTTTTCGGTTACAGATAATTGAATCTTGACGGTCACTGGTTCCTGAGAATTAAACCTTGTAAAATGAAAAAAAAATTGAAAAAATAAGCTATCCTGTCCAAATGTCCAAGGTGTCAGCTTGTTGGGTCCCGAAACTCAGTGGACCTGATCAGAAACAGACTTGGCACAACCTTTCAAGGGACAATGTTACCACTTTTGAGTTTGTTCGTTCTGTTTTTTTTGTTCGATCGACTTTTTTCCATCTTCAAGGTTTAATTCTCGTGCCCCCTATAGCTGCTTCAGCTTGATTGCACTATCCAGGGACTGACTGAATCAGGGAAACCTAAAAAAAATTCCAGTCTTGTATCAAGACTAACAGAAAGCTTTGCAATTAGGGCTCCAGCCAGAATTTGAAAATTGGGTTTGAATTCTCCCTGAATTGAGAAGCGGGGTATCAAGTTGTTGAGGTTTCATGCTCTACAAATATTTACCTGGGGTCCCTCAATTTTTTATCACATATATCATTTGTATTATGTGTGATGAAATGGAACAACAATAAACCAATAATTAAAATAAATTTTAACAATATATGGCCAGACCTACCTGCTACGAAACCTTGCTTGAAAAATTTTGACAAAGAAATATTTATTTGTAAGCTCGGTTCATGGTGACTACCATTTAACTGTTGACACCTCCTTGTTTTATTTGCTCATATCAGTAGGCAAACTTTCAGTAGACAAACTTTCACAGTCATGATCGTTGCATATATCCCAATCCCCTATCACCACCAGCAGAACAGTTACATTAAAAGAAATTAGTGTTCGAAGTTCTAGTGGCTCTTATGCATGGTTTATTGAGGGCGGTGTGACAATGGCCACTGATGATGTCATCACAATGAATGGAACATTACAATGTTTTCATATACATGAGAGGATGTGTTACTTAAAAAGAAAAAGACATCCTTCTCTGTAAACTATTTTGAATTAAAACAAAAAAATAACACCCTTATTTTGTTGCTGTGAGTCCCCATTGTTGTCATATACAAGTTAAAATTGACCATTAAGGCCATGCCACTTAAGGCAAAATCCGGCAAATTGTTGCAAGCAATCTCCAAGAAAACTTCAGGCAAATTTCGATTCCCTCTGATTTTTCCGTGGAATTTCCATAAACTTTCGAAAAAATGCACATTTGTTTTGCCTCAATGTTGCCTGTGAAAATTGCCTCCTGTGACTTGGCTCTCAGACTGCCTACTGTGAAGAACTTGATACCACCCAAGTCACTGCATCTACATTCTTCATAAGAAGAACTTGTTGCTGATTGTGAATGCTCGTGTCCTTTTTTTTTTAAGTCCACATGTGCATCTTGAGTCACCAAGGCACTCTAACTCCTCCTTTGTTAGAACCCCAAACCATTTCATTTCTGCTCCAGAAATGTTGATTTTTGTTCGGCATGTCATTTTATTGTGTTTCACCTTCGACATTGAAAGTAGTGGTGTGGAAAGAATCGTCAGGAGTTTCAGATATCCGTATCTTATTTGAAAGTCTGCTGTTGTTTTTTCAGTTAAAAGAAAATGTTTCTGCTTTATGAGTGCTCAAGATCCACATTCTTTGACTTGCACGAAGCATTTGTCAACAAGCACTTTCAACTTTTTGTTGTTATGATGCTCTGCTCTATTGTATTTCATGTGTGCACATCATCTGTATTTTGAATTTCCTGTATTTCTAAGATGTTCTTGTAAGCACACGTGCAAACTGTGATCTGTTGCTTCTTTAAGACTTTATAACACATTGACATGCCACATTCGAGGTTCAACCCCAGATTGGATAGAGATGGACAACATGTGAATGTCTAGAGTTTATATGTTGCATGCATACTACTAATTTGTGAAATGTTGAACTCTTTTCTTTTCTTTTTTAGATTTTATTTTAAATTCTCATAGATTATTTATTACATTCTGCACCCTTCTTTGAGATGAGCTGTCTCTGTATCTCCAGTGACTTGTTTTATTTGTTCACATACTATCTACTGCCATCTCTACATTCCTAATGTTGTCTGTACATTCCTAACGTTATCTCTTCACATAAGTGATATTTCTATTTGTAATGTAACCACTGCATTCCTGGATATATAGTGCTGCCTTCTTTATACTGCAGAAACACCAAATATATCAGTAGCAATTTACCCTTTTTTCAATTGAAACACTGACTCAAAGAGTATCTTTGTAAATTGTTCATTTTTTAAACCCCATTTTAGAACAACAAAATGAAAATAAAATTTAAATTTTCAAATTGTACTGTCTTTGTTGTGGGGGCAAGAAACCCAAAAAAATAAATCTTGAAACTTTTTTTTTAATTCGCCAGCATCTCTAAGTTATTAGCTTTCCAACAATATATTGAATGGGAAAACAAAAAACAAAAAAAATGTGTCTTTCTTTAAATTTGGGGTCCACTTTTTTCCTGTCCCTAAATGACTTACCGAACATACAAATTAGTTTGACGTTATTCTTAACGACATTTGAAGGGCAAATTGCAAAGTTCTGAGGTAACAGGAACTCAGAAAAATGTCACACTTGGGACTCTTAATTTATATGTAATGAGTTTTCATAAGCATCAGTAGGTTTTCAGGTAAATTAATCTATACACATAGAGCAACATTGAAAAACATGAAAAAAGGGCCATCTATTCCAACTTCCTCTCACGTTTATTTATCAATATCATCTACTCATCCTTCTTAACTATAAATCTCTTACTTTCACTACCACATTCCTCTGTGTCAAAACTGTTACGCCACCAATAGAAACCCCAAAGTACCAACTACTTGTGTTTCAATTTAAGGGAAATAATCAATGTCCTCCCAAGTCATGACAGGTCAAGTACAAGTCAATCCCAAGTCACTCAGTCTCAAGTCAAACAACCTAAATGTGCTATCGAAATTAACTGTGACCGAGGATTTCTTTATCAATTTTTTCTTGTCCTCCGTTTCTTGTGACCTTGTAATTTGACTTTGGGCTCAGTGCGCAAGTACCCCCTCAAGGGTAAGAATGGGAGAGTTGGGGGAGACCACTGGGCGAGACGTTCAACCGCATGGCCAGTGATACCTGATGCTCATGCGAGACGCTATATAGAATACAATAAGATTAGTTTTGCATACTCGTCGCTATAAGTGCGCAAACCAGTACAGGCAGGCAAATTAAGACCGAGTTATGGGGACTTTTTGCTGTCCCCACAGCGTCTTCGGTCCCCATAGTACCATTGGACCACTCGTGTGTAGTCCCCACAACTATGGAACAAGTATGTACGCGCACACAGTGTGTCCCTTCCACTGAGCTCTCGAAAATGGTGAAAAAAAGTGCCCTCTCTTATTCATGCACGGAGCCCATAGATTTGACTTGTGATGGGATTTGATTTGACTGACTTCAACTCTGTTCAGATCTTCTCAAAAAATCCTTTTTTTTCAGCATTCCTTCCTAATCCTTGCCTTCCCTCTTTTTGTCCATTCTTCTGTCCTTCCCAGAGTTACCTAAGACACCAGAACAACAAGACCAACTACAACCTCGTCTGCGAGACGCTACAGTTCCTGGACTGCATCTGCGGCAGCACCACGGGGGGCTTGGGCCTACTGGGACTGTACATCAACGAGAACAACGTGGCGTTGATCAACCAGACGCTGGAGAGTTTGACAGAGTACTGCCAGGGGCCCTGCCACGAAAACCAGGTGATCTATCCCACAGAAAACAGCCAAATATTTTATATCGTTGGACACACCAATTTACTGGAGCGGCATTTGAACCTTAGGCCTCAGGGTTATTATACCGATGTCATATGAAAATCAGACTCGTATGAAAATCGGACTCTTTTTCCCTTTTATTGGTTAAACCTTCTCACGTGACCGGTCCCTCTTCTAATTATCTATGCATGAGCATGCGCAATACCACCAATGAGTCCGTATTTCATAAAACCTAAATTCATGCTACACTGGAGCTCTACCAACTGAGCTACCCAGCCCCATTTTGTCGGCTTTCCCAATTGGACAAGTTGCTAATTTTGACTAGCGTCCCGTGAACAAAGTCATTGACTTATTTGGAGAAAACCAACGTAGGGCTGGATAGCTCAGTTGGTAAAGCATCAAAAATGTGTTTCGGAGGTCTTGGGTTCAAATCCTGCCTCAGCCAATTGGATTTTGAAATTGCAGTAAATACTGATCAAGTCTAAGCCTGAATTTTGTATATTTTCCTGAAATATTAAGTACCTAATATTGAGTTTAAATAATTACAGCTCAGCCTCTATTTACAGCTCAGCCTCTACATGTCACTAATTAACCCATTAGCACATGTATTACATTGTATTACATTGTGTTTATTCACTGGAGAATCAATAAAACCATTGAATACTTGGAAGGTTTTGGGCCCTACAGTGAGTAATGGGCAGGGCGGTTTTGGGTGCTACAGTAACTAAAGGGTTAATTTATGTTGGACATTCATGAAATATCTACCTTGCCAAAAAATATATGTCCCAGTGTGTGTTAGCATGAAGACGGTTCTGTCAGGGCTGAATTTCATGCCACTTCTTACCAAAAGTGAAAAATCCCTACTGAATTATTGCAGAAAAAAATCTGTTCTAAGGATAGAGAATTTCATGTTTGCAAGGAATTATGGCATGTGCAGATGCATCTTTCTAAGGATTATGTATTTAAGTGGGGGTGACGTGGCTTGCCCAAGGACACAACATATGGCCAGCAGCTGGATTCGAACCCTGACCCTCTGATGAAAATTTCAAATCCAATTATAGAATTGATGACCCCAATCATTTTTCTTTCTTGTGTGAAGTTTTTGTCGGATTCGGTTCAGTGGTTTTGAAACAAAGTCCATTAATGTAACGCCAGTCCACTTTGCACCATTTGACATTATTCCCAAGAAACAGATGTGTCAATTCCCTGTGGGTATTGTGTGTTTTCTGTAACAGAATGCCATCGCGAACCATGAATCCAATGGCCTAGATATCATCACGGCGCTCATACTGAACGACATCAACCCCCTCGGCAAGAACCGAATGGACCTGGTGCTAGAACTCAAGGTAAAATCACAGGGTTTTTTTTTCCACAAAAAAATCTTCATTTTGAGTTACTCCGAGAAGAGTTCTCTTTCATGGAAAGGCTGTCCTCGACTATTCACCAGTAACTCTAAAGTTTCAATTGCAAAGACATCATTTCAGTTGCACAAAGGAAAAAACTGAAATCAACTTCATGGTGTAAATTAAAGGGAATGAACAACATTTGCTTTTGCTGCAATTTTCAGAAATAAATGGATTTGGAGGATTAGTATGTTATGGCAAATATTGTTATTATGTGACTTGTTTCACGTTTTGGGCTTGTAGATGCTGGAAAAAAAACCAAGAAAATAAATCATGTTCTTGTAGTCTGGTTCCCTGACCCCTCTTAAGATGAAACGGAGCAATTTATAGACTTTGGGGAATTGTAAGGTGTGTAATCAATTGCAAAGAAAGTGCGGAACAACTCAATATGAAAAATTAGCCGTTTTTGAAAAAAAAAGTTTTTTCCCAACACTGGTCGACAGATCAGCTTTGGAAAAATACAATGAGTCTTTAATATGTCAGCATACCAGCAGCCAGGATTTTACAAGATGCTTTAGACTGTCATTCCCCAACAATCCAGCAAGGTATTTTATGATAATTTGAGTATTTCGGGGTTTTTTATGTTTGCAAATGTTGTATCTTCCCTTTAAATACCTGTCAGTTTACGTAGAAGCTATTAACTAGAAAAGCTTTGTCACTCTTCTCTTTTGTCACCCTTCAACAACAAAAAAGATAAAGAGATACAGCAGAACATTGTTATTTGGAGCAAACTGTTTGCAAAGACTTCGAAGAAATTTAGCCTAAAAACGTCACAACATTGCTATTTTCAGCAAACCTTTTAGAAAGACATTGAATTGATTATTCAAAGTCACACTTTCTAAATTGTATCCCCTGAACTTGAAATAGTTCCACAAAAAATTGTTTCCTCTCAATCCTTTTTATCCCTTCCCCAACTCGCCTTCTTTTGGTACTAGTAGAATCACAGGAAAGGGAATTTGTGTTTTTATGATCCAAATGCCAAAAATCCAAGTCACTGATATTGATTTCTTTCATTTGTTTCTTAGAACAATGCTTCCAAGCTATTGCTGGCCATCATGGAGAGTAGACATGACAGTGAGAATGCTGAGAGAATTCTACTCAACATGAGCCCTAAACAGTTGGTAAGCAGTTAAACACAACACAAAAGTTTTAAAGATGTACTGTCCATATTGTTTTCAAGTTTCATACTGAACAATAGATTTTATTTACTTCTATTCTTCTTAAAAATGTTATAGTTATACAAAATTTAAGAGCATAAAAGATCAATTTCAGTGGCGGTGATAGGAAGAAAAAGACGATAATGCCATTTTTTTTGCCCTATGTACATTCATAGTGGAGTTGTTTGGTTGAATCATGGTTGAATGGTGCACTTGCTTGGACTTTTCCTCGACTCGAATAAGAAGTGAACTTCTTTGTTGATGAGGCCGTTACATTAACCTTTATTCAGACTTTATAATTTAATGAAAACACTGAACATTTTTCTCACGGTAAAATTTTGTTTGGATCTAAAATAAAACAGGAGGAAGTGTCCAGGAATTAGGCACAAAGTGTATTGTACATATGTAAATGCAGCGCAGACCAGATTTCTAACACGGAGTTTTGTTCAGCCTATAGTCCAATTTTTTTCCCCATAGGCCAGTTTCATCTCTGTGTCCTCATCCAGGTACTTTTACTGACATAATATTGCAGTAATCCGGGTACTTTTTGCAAAAGCATACAATATGCTGATTTATTTGAAGCCTCATATAAATATTCATGCAATTATTTTGACAGTTTCATATTTGAATGTTTGCAAACGGTGTCCATTACCTTCTAGTCAGTGATAGTTGGCAAAATGGAGAATTTTGTAAGTCCCACTGTAGTTTCATATATCCATTCGTGTGTCTTTCTTAGCCTCCCGTGAGTAGCTCCCACTGTGCTAACTTTGTTGTTTCATTACCTTGAATATTGTTCATATCTCCCACCCCCTCCCCAATGCCCCACCCACCACCCCTAGGTGGATGTGATCAAGCAGGCCTACCAACAAGAAGACTTGGAGAGGGATGATGACGATGAACTGATTATTGAAGAAGACGATGAAGCCATCTCACCTAGGGAGGTCGGACATAACATCTACATCTTGGCCCATCAGGTCAGTCCATGCTAAGCGCAGAAAGAAATTTGCTTAGATAAACAGGTTTCCAGCCAAAATATCATGTGATGCATATTGCTGTGGAATAGTACTCTGCCGATTTTTGCTTACAGTACAAATTTGCTGAGCAGTATTGTCTGCTTAGGACCTAAACTGAAAAAAACTAGAAGCTTATTAGAATTTCATCTGATGCTTGCGACTTGTATCCTTTTTGTAATAGTCAAACAATCGATTGAAGAATTCCTTGCAACACAACAAGACTATTCTTGCAATTAAAATTTCAAGTTTGTCTTCGGGGAAAAATTAATATTATTGGCCATTTTTTGTGTGTTCTGTTCATAGCTTGCTCATCACAACAAGGAGTTGGCGTCCTTGTTGAAACCTACTGGCCCTAACTCAGAGTACACGGATAGGGCACTGGAATACTACTTCAAACATACCGCACAGATTGAGGTAAGACAATCATGCAATCTGACCCCTTACCCTCAACCCCTCCCCTTTCATGCCCCACCCATCCACACCCCTCACCCAGCCTCCCACACCCATCTCAATCTTAGAGCTCCCAGACATGACACTTGAATACAACTCAAAGAATACTGCACAGATTGAGGTAAGCTTGACTCCATATCCTTATCACTCAGCTCCACCCTATCCCTACCAGCACGCCACCCCCACGCCCCACCCCCTGCCACGCCCCACCCCCACACCCCACGCCCCACCCCCACACCCCACGCCCCACCCCCATGCCCCACCCCCATGCCCCACCCCCATGCCCCCTCCTTTTCTCCATCACTTCCCCCCACTCAACCAATTTCTCCCCAACTCAAACCCCCCTATTAAACACTCCTATTAAACCAACAATCTGAGATTTACCTTATTTCTACATTAAACAGTTCAATATCACACAAAGTGTACCATACATTTTGAATTTATCTTTCTAAACTCAAACAATAGCTTGATAAACATTGAAATTAGCAGATTATTTCTGAGATCCTGTATGGGCTAAAAAAGTACGCGCAACTGGTCTTACTCTGAGTGTGTACAAAGCCATAGTATCTTCGTGTGAGCAACAGGCGTTGGAGTTGAAATTTGTTCAACTTTGACACAACGATGTGACAGTCAGTGAATCAGCGAACTCGCAGTGCGAATACTTGTCGTGATGTCATAAATATGCATTCACTTTTGCATCCAGTATGAAATGCAGTAAAGTCTACTTGTCCTGCCAATAAAGCAGCACCATGATAAAAGCACTGTTTTTGACACTAATGGACCCAAGATGCAAGATTTTAAGAAGGTGATGGAAGTGTAAGTATGAATCTTGTTCCTGACCACAGATTGTGAGGCAGGATCGGACCATGGAGCAGATTGTCTTCCCCGTGCCCCAGCTCTGTGAGTACCTGACGGCCGAGACCAAAATCAAGGTCTTCACGAAGGCCGAGAGGGACGACCAGGGCAGCAAAGTGGCCGACTTCTTTGAGAAGACCGAGGATATGTTCATGGAGATGAAGTGGCAGAAAAAACTCAGAGGTCAGTCGCTTGGTCTGCCTGTCTATCTGGCTGTTGGCTAATCATTCTAAGGGACGGTTGTGTTAACTTTTGCAATTAATAATCGGTGAAGGATTTCACTTGACATTTAAAGATGGTAGTAAGGTTAAAATACATAGCATAATGGAAAAAATCTAAATACTGGACCTGTGTGGTCAAACAACAGAGGTGATTGTTTTTTATTTCTTTTCTTCTATAATTATTTTTCAGTTGTCATAAATATGATAGTTAATGAAAAATGTAGAAACATATTTGAGCAAGTCCAGGAATTCGTGCACGCTATGTCCCATACATAACAAAAGTTAAACCCTCTAAGATATTCATGGATTTCAGTGCTTTATTCTTCTGTTGGGCACCTGCAAGGAGAATACCCTCAAGAATGTTTTTTGTTTTTAGTCTTTGCGATGATTATGTAATTAAAGAAAACATGGTTATGTATGGGACAAAAAGGGAACCTTTTCTTGGACTTATCCATTAACATATTTCCACATTCAACCCATTAGCATTTGTGTTACACTGGAATACATTGTTCAGTTATCTATCCAGATAAATCCACAAAAACCATAAAGTGCTTGGGCAGTTTGGGGCGGTATAACAAGTAATTGGTAGTGCGTTTTAGGGGATAACTTCTTGAATAAATGGACTAGGGTGAGACAGAATGATCTGGCCCCAAATTTAAGAAAATATTAAATATTTGTAGCAATTATCAAAACAAGTGCAAAATGAGATATTTTATGGGCTGGTATTTTGGACACATTTGGTGAAAGTATCATGTATATCCATTGTACCATTTTGAAGAAAAATTGCTAGCAAAGAACACACGCTAAAAAACACTCTGACCACGGTTCCATGGTTCAACAAATTGATGGAAATCACGTACTGATGTGAAGCAGTGTAATAACAAATAAAAACCTAGTCATGGTGACTGACTCAGTTGAAGTTATTGACACATTTAAAAAAGGAAAAACCAATTCCGTGTGCAGACTGGAAAATGAACCATTTCAATAAAAATGGCATAACTCCTCACCACAGCCACTAATTTGAAACACTCAAAATTCCTGCAGAAGACAAGGTAATAACCATTCATATGAAACCAGTGTTCTAGCCAGGGTCAAATAGCGCTAGCACCCGCTCGCTTTCGGAAATAAGCGCTACGCTTAAATCGCGCCGCTACGCTACCGCTACGCTATAAATTTTGGTTGCGAAAAAAAAATATCTGCCGTTTGTTCGTATACAAGCGCAGCGACTTTGAGCATTGCGCACTGGCCGTACGACACAGCGAAAAATGAACAACGATCCCACCGCACGTACCCCGTACGGTACCCCTACCGTGATGCTGCGCCACACGCATTCGCTATGAAAGCAATAAGCACGTGCTGTTTTGTGCTGCGTAGATACAGCGCTCCGTACGGACGTACTTGCAACAAAGCAAGTTTTTTAGCGCTCCACGAATGCGTTGCTTTCTCAAATGCTGAGGGGAAATTTGGTCGCGTAGTTCGCCGGCGTAGCCGGTGTGGGCTGGCGCTAGCCCGCACCCGCACGCCGGGGCCGGCCGCGGCCGGGATAGGAAGCAATTCCCGGTGATTATTTCTCATCGTCATTATCTACAATTATATTTTTTAACATAACAAAAATGAGATTTCTCCCACACATTGTGTTGTAGCATATTGAAATTGCAATCGCCGACGACTTTTTCTGTCTGAGACCTCCATGGTTTTACAATTTCTCTCCCTGCTGGTTTTATTTACAAATTTAAAATCGGAACTACTGCTACTACGGCAACGCTACACAACACAAGGCTTCTTGAAATATGTTCATGCGATTTGTTCTCGCACTTAATATTGACAAAGTAAATCCCAATTTGTTATAAAACATTGAGGAATTACTAAAAATGGTTAAACATCAGAAAGCATCGATCTTGGAACAATTTATACATTGTAAACATAATCTAAAATTTGAAAACAGAAGAAACTTTACAGGAGCAAGAGTATCAATCTTTGAAACAAATAAAACAAAATTTCTTATAATTGTAAACACTTCTGCTAAAAAACAAATCAGGGGAAAGTGGCAGGGAATCGCCTCAGATTGCACCACAGAGCATCTAGAGTCCAAAATTTTTCAGGGCCCTTAAGCGGGCCCCGGACCCCACGCCGTAAGGGCTTCGCGCTCCGCGCTCGCATTAGTCGTCGAACCAAAATTACCCCTACGCTATAATTTCACCCTGGCTAGAACCCTGTAAGAAACACTCGGTTTTTTCTCAATATACTCTATTTGCCAAAAGAAAATGGTGAACTTGGGTCCAGATCATTCTGACTCACCCTGTAAATGAACAGGAACATGTAGATGGTGTTTTGTGACCACACGTGAGAGCTCCGCTAGAGAGCCATATTGCAAGCACACACTGGGCATGGGTGCATGGCGCAAAGTATGCATGCTTAGTTCTATTAGTGGCATGGCTGGCATGGTTGGCTTGTGCGTAAAGCGCTCACCTCTCACCAAGGTGACCACGGTTCGAATCCTGGCCGCGGATCGCATGTGAGTAGAGTTGTGCGTTGGTTCTCTCCTGTGCCACGTGGGTTTTTCTCCGGGCCCTCCGGTTTTCCTCCCTCCGGAAAAATCAAACACTTTCGATCTCGGGCTGTGCTCCGTGGTCATATATGGGTCGATGTGGCCGGCAGCCATAGGCGCCTTTACGTGCCAGCAGCCCGACCACGTTGTAGCCGCGTCCTTCGCAATTCAGTATACCAGCTGCGAGTAAGGATGATTAGCCTCCCAAATTATTATTATTATTATTATTATTATTCTAAAAAGTGATGGGCATTCGGCATCAATGTATTGGCGTCCCACCTATCTCGCTTTGTAACCGATTAAGGGAGTACTTGTGCACAAAATCTATTATTATATATATATTTTTTTTTTTGGTCGTGCACAGCCCAGCCCATCCTGTTCCTAGCAAGCAGCAACATGAGCAAGTGGAGTCTGGTTTGTTTCAACTTAGCACTCATCGTTAACTTGTTGGTGGCCTTCTTCTATCCATTTGACGTCAGAACAACAGGTGAGATGCAAGCTACTGTTGTTTGTATTCAATTCTATTTTAATCCGTTTCATTTACAGGTAGTTTATTCCTCTGTCAGTATAAGTCTTTTAGCTGCTGCTCCTTAAAAATAAAGGAGCAAAAATTATAAATTTATCATCAAGTGGCTTGGTGAGCAGAGATTTTACCAATGAGCGCTCAAAACATTTGTAAACCCAGTCATGTCCTCGTCTAGAAAAAAGAGGGAATAGAGGCCTTCACAAATTGAAAACACTATCTTGTGATAGAGTCCTTATCACCTGTTTTTCTGTATGTGGCCGTCATCAGAATTCTAGTGCATCATGTTGAAATATCAGCTACAGTGTTTTGAAAATTTCGGGCAGTTTTGACGAGTAACGGCCAAGCTCTTTAGGGCACATTGAGGACTATAGACTCTTTGCATTCAGGGGCAATCTGTAGGGTGTTTTTTTGTTATATTCAAATCAGTAACAATAAATAAACAACAGGGTCTACTTGCGCATATCTCTGTGGAACAGAAGCACGCACCTTAAACGCGGCCACAATGTGAATGATCTAGTGGGGTAAACAACATGCTGTTTCGTAGAGAAAAAAAAATTATGAAAAGCCTCCAGCTTTGCTTGGTTCTTTAGCTTCAGAAGATTTTTAGGCCTCTGAATTGGGTGACTGAGGCTCAGCATGGGTCTGTGTTCCGCTTCAGGAACATCAAATCATATCTTATGAGGCTAAAATTTAGAATTGTTCCATCTGGTTTCGGCATCAGAGGTTTCTGGGTACTCTGATAACAAGAGATAATTGAAGCAAAGACGGAAATGAGGCTTTGAAAACCTTAGTGTCGTTGCGCTCATTGCTGATTAACTAACAGCCCATGTCTCTCCCCATGACCCTTATCCTTTGACATTTGTCCCCTACCAGAGCTAGACCATGGCCTGTCCATGCTAGTCTGGTTACTGATGGCCGCGTCGTTGGCAGCCATCGTGACGTTACGTCGGCCGTCGGGAATACGACCGCTCGTCTTCGCCACCATCCTCAGAATGATATTCTCCATCGGCGTGGAGCCTACGCTTCTCTTCCTTGCTGTGACCACAGTGAGTTGTAGTAAAATCCAGAGGCACTGTATTAATACCTCGGCTTAGTATCTGCAGACCTGGGCCAGACAGTTACAATTTCAGATGGGGGGGGGGCACCTGCCCCCAAGGGCCCCCTCCTCTCACCTGGCTATGCCACTGGCTGGCGCTTCCCCATTTAGTCAAACACTTTGTTCAAGGGGCGCTAGTCAGATGCCATAAACATGTATAAGCCATACAGCCAGGGATCTCACCCTAAGTCACTATGCTAGCAACATTAGCAATGCTTCAAACCTGGGAAATAGCAAACGGAGATCACTCAGAGAGGATGCGGCTTTTTTCTTCAAATGAACAAAAATTTCTGAAAGTTAGATTGATTTTTTTTTCCATGCTAAAATGGAAAGTTTATAGCCTTGTTTAACCTGTCCCTCTTTTTTTTCTTTTCCAGATTTTCACCAAATGCATATTCATCCTGAGCTTCCTGGGTAACTGCGGCCTGTTGTACAAAGGAGTGAGGGGGATATTCACTGACATGGAGGTCCTGTACCACATCCTGTATCTCATCATCTGCTTCCTGGGACTCTTCGTCCACGAGTTCTTCTACAGTCTGCTGGTAAGACCAAGCTTAAATTTTATAAGATTTCTTTTGAATCACAAGTCTGTCACAAGTCTGTCACAAGTCTGTCACAAGTCTGTCACAAGTCTGTCACAAGTCCATCACAAGTCCATCACAAGTCCATCACAAGTCCATCACAAGTCCATCACAAGTCCATCACAAGTCAATCCCAAGTCCATTACAAGTCCATCACAAGTCTGTCACAAGTCCATCACAAGTTCATCACAAGTCCATCACAAGTTCATCACAAGTCCATCACAAGTCCATTACAAGTCTGTCACAAGTCCGTCACAAGTCAATCCCAAGTCCATCACAAGTCAATCCCAAGTCCATCACAAGTCCGTCACAAGTGTCACAAGTCCATCACAAGTCAATCCCAAGTCCATCACAAGTCCATCACAAGTCCGTCACAAGTCTGTCACAAGTCCATCACAAGTCAATCACAAGTCCATCACAAGTCTGTCACAAGTCCATCACAAGTCACCTAGTTTCAGGTCAAGTCACAAGTTATTGAAATGAACTGTGACAAAGGCCTTCCTTTGTTATTGTTCATCCACTGGGTTTGTGACAGACTTGTGACTTACTTGTGACAGGGCTTGTGAAAGGATTTGTGATGTACTTGACTACAACACTGGTTTTGACTGGAAAAATAGGGATAGCTAAGTTGGAATGTCACCAGAAGACTTGAGGTCAGAGGCTTAAATTCTGTCCAGTCAATTTCAATCAAAGTGGTATTGAAGTAGTGAGCTTTTTAGCCCTATCTGTTATCGTTTCAGTAGTCGTACAACCTAGCTAGCCAGACATATATTTCTTTAACACTAAACCCCAAGTCTTTCGTAATCCACTCGGAGGTCAGACGTCAATCACAAGTTGGGATGAACCTGTACATGGGACATGTCCCCATTTTGTTTAAGTGCAAACAATATGGCATTGATCAAATTTGGTTTTGCCCTTCAGTGACGTTTAAACACTGTATACTCAGTGTGTTACCTCCCGAGTGAAAGTTGGAAAATATCACTCGGGTGGGACTCGAACCCACGACCTCCTGCTTTCTAGTGCAGATGTCTTACCACTCGACCACTGAGCTAACGGGATCGGTTGGCTGGTTCGAATCTGATGTACATAGCAGCGGGTACCGCATAAACTATTATAAGATGGAATTTTTGCGTCGGGGTGATATAAATCAAATATATCACCCTGACGCAAACATTCCATCTTATAATATGGCATTGGTTTCTTGCTCAGCCAGAGATTTGGTTGGGTTTAGTAAGAGTTGTAGCCAAAATGGCAAGGGTGTTATGGTTAAAGGATTTATGAAGCTTTACCACCCTCCTACACTTGAAGATAGAAACCTAATTGTAAATGAAAAATTGACATTTTCATCATGACTTCTCCCTTACCAGTTGTTGGACGTGGTGTACCAAGAGGATACGTTAATCAACGTGATTCACTCAGTAACGCGCAACTGGCGTTCCATTGCCTTCACCGCACTGCTAGCCCTGATTCTGGTCTACCTCTTCTCCATCGTGGGCTATCTCTTCCTTCAGGATGACTTCGTGTACGAGGTCAACCCTCTCAGACCGGCCATAGCCACAGCCACAGCCACAAACAAGACAGGTGAGTTTGCAGCTTGGGTTGAGGTTAGGTTAGGTGAGATGAGGTGAGGTGAGTTTACAGCTTGTTTTGAGGTTAGGTGAGGTGAGTTTGCAGCTTTTTTGAGGTAAGGTGAGTTTGTGGCTTGTGGTGAGGTGAGGTGAATTTGTGGGTTGTGCTGAGGTGAGGTGAGTTTGTGGCTTGTGTTGAGGTGAGGTGAGTTTGTGGCTTGTGTTGAGGTGAGATGAGTTTGTGGGTTGTGCTGAGGTGAGGTGAGTTTGGGGCTTGTGTTGAGGTGAGGTGAGTTTGTGGTTTTTGCTGAGGTGAGGTGAGGTGAGTTTGTGGGTCGTGCTGAGGTGAGGCGAGGTAAGTTTGTGGTTTGTGCTGAGGTGAGGTGAGGTGAGGTGAGTTTGTGGGTTGTGCTGAGGTGAGGTGAGTTTGTGGTTTGTGCTGAGGTGAGGTGAGTTTGTGGGTTGTGGTGAGGTGAGGTGAGTTTGTGGGTTGTGCTGAGGTGAGGTAAGGTGAGTTTTCAGCTTGTCTTGAGGTCAGGTCAGGTGAGGTGAGTTGTGGATTGTACTGAGGTGAGATGATGGGCTTTTGTGGTTTGCATTTGGGTAAGGTGAGGTCAATTTGCTTTGCGGAATGTATTCAGGTTAGGTGAGGTGAGTTTGGGGATTGTGGAAAGATGAGGCGATGTTAAGGTGAATTTGCTGCTTGTGTTGAGGTGAGTTTGCGGCTTGTGTTGAGGTAAGGTGAGTTTTCAGCTTGTGTTGAGGTAAGGTGAGTTTTCAGCTTGTGTTGAGGAGAAGTGAGGTGGTTTACAGATTGATTTGAGATGCAGTGAGTTACTGAGCTTGAGTTGAGGTGAGGTAAGGTGAATTTGCGAAGTGAGTTGAGGTCAGTTTAGGTGAGGTAATTTGCTACATGTACTTGTGTTTAGTGACAAGAGTTTGACAAGATACAACCAATAAGCTGCTATTATTTTCAAATTTACTGTCAAATCAGTTGTAATAACAACATGGTCAAAACCTCAGACAACAAATCCTTATGATTCCCCTCACCAACAGGTACGTCACCACCTATGCCATTGCCACCAGAATCTTGTCCAGCAGGTCTTGAAATGGAAGACTGTCTGAAAAACAACCTCAGCCACTTGCAAGCAAAAGGTAGGACAAGTTTATCTGTACTGTATTCGGTTGGATTTTTCGAAAGTTGGATTTTTTTTTTTGTGGTTAAAAAGCAAAGAAACTATATATTCAAGAAAGGTTCCATGTCACTTTGGATCTCACAGTTGTTGATGTTTATTTCCATTGATGTTCTGTTTCTCCTCCAACCAGAAGTAAGTGATGATGGCATCGAAGTTGGCACTGAAAGGGAACGAGCCTGCGAGACACTGATCATGTGCATCATCACCACGCTCAACTTTGGTGTGCGGAGCGGCGGGGGTATCGGCGACGTCTTAAGAAGCCCATCAACAAAGGTACAGGAAAATGGATGTTAACATCCAAGAAATGTGGACTTCGTTTTGTGCTGCACTGATTTTTTTTTTCTGTCACAGGTACAAAGAGAAGGATGGGGTACTGGTCCTCCAACAACAGCAGTAGTCAGCAAGTAGACTGGTGCCTGTTGTTTGGCAACCCTTTTCATAGTGATCTTTAACATGCTTCAGGGAACATGTCCAGCATGGCTGCCTCAATGCTTAAGTTGCATAAAAGCAGATCTTGAGATGCTGTTGCATTCAGATATTGTATAAATCAAACAATATCAGACGGCCTAACATTTCGATCCTAGCAGAACTTTTGTTAAAGGCAAGGATTTTCATATTATTTTTTTTTATTGAGGAATGTTATTTCCAAACTTGGCAAAAGGAAAAAAATAGTAGAGGCATAACAGGTTTACAAATGTACCAACAGGATAGAAAACCTACAAGAAATTCATTTAGCAAAATATAAACCTTTAAATTGATGTCACGTGACCCCCGGTGACGTCATGACGTCACATCTTCAGATGATGGTTAATGACTATGCACGGTTTAAAGGTGATCGTATTTTAAAAGGTTCCGAAAGTGTCTTGTAGAATGAAAGCGTGTACAAAACCTATTGGAAAAAGTGGGGGAAAAATAGGGGGAAAAAAGGGGGGAAAATACTACCAAAAACAAAAGCTGTTTTCAATGAAATTTGCCGGAAAAGCTAAGAAAGGAAAATACAGAGTTTAGATGGAGAACAATATTCAGGACATCAGTACATTCCTCAATATTACTTGTGATTTTTTCTCAATAAACAGTGTCGAAATCAAATCTTTTCTATGTCGTCTTGTTTTCCTCACAAGGAACCATTATACATGGCCCGAGTCATCTACGACCTCTTGTTCTTCATCGTGGTCATCATCATTGTCCTCAACCTCATCTTTGGTGTCATCATCGACACCTTTGCTGACTTGAGGAGCGAGAAGCAGCAGAAGGAGGAGATCTTGAAAAACACCTGCTTCATCTGTGGTAAGAAAACCCTTGGTGCACCTGTTTGTCATTTAGTAGTTGATGCAACTCTTTGTGTTCTATGGGCTAAGTGCACAAGTACCCCCTCAACTGTACGAAAGGGAGAGTTGGGGGAGACCACCGGGAGAGACCTTTGACTTCATTACCGACGACGCCTGAGGCTCATGCAAAAACGCTATGACTTTATGAACACTAAGAATGAAAATAATCATGTGTACTTCATGCCATTCGCACAAGAACCAGTCCAGCTAGTCGCACAGTCGTACTTTACCATTATGTCTAAGGACAAGGCATATGTCCGTATAATGTAACACTCTCCCATAGACTAAGCAGGCGCGGTTCTAGAACCAATATTTGGGGGGGGGGGGGGCTAGCACGGTGGATCCAGAATTTTTTCAGGGAGGCGTGCTGAAATGTAGACAAGTAATTTTTTCCTGACACTTAGGCCTCCGAAAATCAATGGGGGGGGGGGGGGGGGGGGGCTCATGCCATATTTTCAATGGGGAGCGCCAATAAAATCCTAAAATCATTCACACTATATTAACTAATGCACCCTTGTCGCGGCTATTTCTTCTTTAGGGGGAGACCATTCGCATGTACATCACAATCCTTCTTTTTGCTAATGCAATTTTTTTTTACGGAATTTATTTTGGGGGGGCTAGACAAAAATTTGGGGGGGCTACAGCCCCCCCCCCAGCCCCCTCGTAGAACCGCGCCTGAGACTAAGCACACATTCCTACCTTCGAGGACAACAAAGAATGAGTTGTTATCTCTCTGCGTGTCTGTCCTTGGGATGTATGTAATACAAGAGAATGTGCCTGCTGTGTGTGTCCCGTTCCCTGGGCTCTCAAAAGTGGTGAAAAAGCACCCTCTCTTGTTTGCGCCCGGAGCCCATTGGCTCCCTGTGTGAACTGTAGGGGAAGGGACACGTATTGGCTTGCTTACTGTTTTTGGCAGCACTATACAAACTAGAGCAAGTTCGGGTGAGAACTGCCGTTAACCACAATTCAGCTATACATTCGCTTGAACCCATGTTAGTTGACCGTAGGAGAACCAGTCAACTGTTAGGGACCAGACCTACTGAGGTTAGTTTGCTTGTTACAATAGCCTCGCGCATCATAATGCACAGTAGGGAGCGAGAAACCTAGAAGTTTCGTGATGACCCTTTGATCATCGCTGCTGTTAGCATGCAGGCTTAAGTTGCATCTCCAGTTGACCACTAGTCAAGGAGTGATCTGAAATTGAACTTGCTCCTGAGAAAAATACTGTGTAAGACCATTTAATCCACTGAAATTCAAGTAGATAGGGTCAGATTTTGGACATTTGCAGTGAGCAACAACAACAAAAATTGAAGAAGTCAAACTTGATATGGTTAATTACCTTTCCCATGTTCCGCCAACAGGCATGTATTTGTGTCCTCACACTCGCCCAATGAAAATCCACAACAATAGCACCTCATGCAAAGTGGTAAATTTAGAGAAGTAACACCAGCATTATGGGCCAATTAACCATGATATCTAATGAATGATTCAGAGAAATGATCCAAAACTCCTAGTCTGTAATCTCCTTGACTATTAGTAGATGATGGGTGTGTATGAGATTTGAAAAACACATTTTCAGGTTTATTCACTGAGCTCTGAATAGCCCTGTCACGGACATTACGTAACGAGAGATAAACAGAGCAGATGAATGCACACAAGTCTATGGGGCACCTGGAAACCGGATTCGTATTTTGCAATTTTTCATCTAATCAAAAGAAGACGGAAGTTTTTACCATAAAAATATCAAAATTTAACATTTACTTCAATAATAGTTCAAAATAAAAACTTTTCTTGATTTTGTTGGTACCCTGCTATAAGCCTTTGCACAATTTCACCTGCGCTTGTGCTGTTGGTTTATTTCGGGAGATAATTAGTTCACATGTGTTGGGTAACCTTTGGAAAAAATGACTAATGACTAGCCCCATAAATGGGCCTCAAATACTGGACTTCTTCCGTATATTGGGCCCCACTAGCACCAGAGAATTCTGAATGAATGAAGATAACCCAAAAATCCTGTTTATGTGACTCCTGGACCTCCCATTTTACCTCATCTGTTCAGGTCTGAACCGCTCGTCCTTCGACAACAAATCCGTCTCTTTTGAGGAACACTACAAAGAGGAGCACAGCATGTGGCACTACTTGTACTTCATCGTCTTGGTCAAAGTGAAGGACCCGACGGAATTTACTGGGCCAGAGAGCTACGTCTATAACATGATCAAGGTACAAAATAAAGTTGTCTCTATTCAGGGCATTTGGCACAAGAAGAAATTTTTTTGGGGGGGGGGGAGCAAAATTACATCTTGTTTCCCTGGGAGAAATGTCTGATAACATTATGTCCCCCCCCAAAAAAGACATTGACTTTTGAAGGAATTTTGCATCAGAGAGATTTTACAACAAAAGCATGGATTGAAGTACCGACTGTTTTATTGGATTAAAACCAGCCAGCCGGCCTGTAATTATAATCAATGACCATAATGCGCATGCGTGAAACATATCACGTGAACAACTAAATATGTCACCTGATTCGGAATAAGTTCTTACAGCTTATATATTCCACGACGGTGGTGTGTGCGTTAAATCGCTGACCTGAATGCTGGAGGTTCCTGGCTCAATTCCTGGAGGGAATTTTACATTTTCATTTTTGCCCCCACAATTGAATTTCTTACCTAAAGTGTGTTTAATCAACTCCTGATGATCGATAAAATGAAATGCAGCCTTTTCTTCTCATTCATGGCTCTGGAGGATTTTTTTTTTAAAAGGGAAGATAAGTCCGAGAACCATTCCTTCACCATCTGACGCATGCGCATTATGGTCATTGACTATACTTGACTATATATAAAAAAGTTAATCACAAGTCATCCAGGAATTCTCTTGTCATTGATTATTGTCTGTTCCTACCATGAGCCTTATGGGGTACCAGGAAGTGCAGCAATAGGAACAATGGGAGAGTTTTTTCCAAAACGCGATACATCCATAGGAAAAAAGGTGAACATTTTGCAAGGTAATGAAACTTTAATGAACGAAAACGGTCTAAAAGCTGTTTTGTAAACTTTATTTTTTAATTTGTTGCATTCTTAAGTCCTGTTTAAATATAAAACAGCCGTCGAAATTGCTGTTGGGCAGCCAGGAAAGAGCAGGATTTTTAAAGAGAACAAAATGATGTATATCACGTTTAGGAAATAAATCTTCAATGGGACCCCGCAAGTCGGCCTTCAGTTGGGGTGTACATTTACAGGTACATGTAGTACGGGAATGGGGTACCCGATTAAAAAAAACCATGGGTACCCTAAAAAAAAAATTTAAAAAACCTTAAAGAAACCCAACCCCAGAATTTAAATCCCCAAACAGCAACTTTCGAGATTGCATCACTTTTCAATTGTGGTTTTTGTGGTGTCATCTGTCACAGAGTGAAAGGCTATGGTTGCCAATCAAGGCAGGTGGGATAAAAAAAAAATTCACCATGAAAAGTGGCGCAATTCTCTAAACAGACCCTTTCATAAAGTTGGTCACTGCTCAGTCAACTGTGAATGTAATGACATGATCAGGGTGTCATTCTAAAGAGGAGATTCAACCCTAACAGAGGATGTCTCCCTTAATTTCACATATTGCCCTACTTCTGTGCAATAATATTTCGGTTTCGAAATACTATTAAATAATGTTAAATAATGTTAAATAATGTGAGTTGAATTTTATTGCGGCAGAGACTTGTTGTAGAATGGCATGCTAATTGTCCGTGGCTAGGAGTGAATAAACGTACTAGAATCTGAGCATTCTAGTCATGAAGTACTCTTGCTCAGGGCAAAAACCAAATGTCTTTTGAAGTATCTTTTTTTTGTTCCGTGTTTCCCCATGGGTTAACTTCTTGCGTGTCTCAGTGGAATTGCTGGGACAGTAATGTACGCGAGGTGGAATACTGATTGGACATTATGTATCCCGGGAACAGACAAGTGGGACCGGCTTTAGGTAGTCATGAACCCTGGTTTCCATTCGGGGCATCTATTAACATTTTACAAAATGAGCGAGGGACTGTGGCCTCCTAAAGACCTGAAACCTTATAATCTTTAAAAATAAAAAATCATTCTGTCGCCAATGCAAGGTTTGAATTTCTAGTTCATTGTTTCATATGAGAAATCTTGCAGATGACTTTGTGTACAAAATGGCTGCCTTTTGTTGCTTTGTTCTCTCATTTTGATCAATCGAAAATGGGTGTGATTTCTATTTGTCTGAAAGTCAAAACCTGACCAGCAGAAACTTGAAAATCCTTTTTCCATGTCATTGAACAGTCAAGGAGTAAATACAGGGTGAACCAAAAAAATAAAACCCAAATGGCAGGACCAATTATTTCATGAAGTTCTGCATGTAGCACTTTCAAAATCTAGGATATGAAAGCCCAACTTATAATCTTTCTGTTTAGTACAAGAATCATTCAAATCACTCATGTACTTTTTAAGTTACGGAATTTTGAACACAATTGCAAATTTAAAGTTCTGTCAACTGATCACAGAAAAAGTTAAGTGTCCTTTTCAGCAAAACGAAAACACTTTACATAGGGATGTATGTGAGTTGTTTCGGTGATCCGTGGATAGAACTTTCAAACAGTGTTTGTGTTTAAAGTTCCATATCTTGAAAAGTACATGAGTGATTTAAATGATTCTTTAACTAAAAGAAAGCTTATTAATTGGGCTTTCATACCCTAGATTTTGAAAGTGCTACATGCAGAACTTCATTACCTGACAGTGGCGGATCCAGAGAGGTTCGTGCCGAGGGGGCACAACGGCTCATTCAAGTGAAAAATGGCCTTATTTTACAAAATTTTGGTCACTGCCGGGGGGCGCACGCCCCCGTAGCACCCCCCTGGATCCGCCAATGCCTGACATTTGGGTTTCCTCTTTTGTTTTTACTCACCCTGTACAGTGCAGTGCAATGTACTATAAGTGCTGATGGGCTAAGAACTGATGATTGATTGACCAACTGATGTTGTTTTTTTCTGTCTATTCAGGAGAAGAACCAGGATTGGTTCCCCAGGATGCGAGCCATGTCGCTAGACTCTGACGAGGGAGAGAGTGAACAGAATGAGATGAGAATCCTACAGAATCAGCTAGAGAACACCAACTCACTAGTCAAGGTCCTGTCTGGCCAGCTCAGAGAACTCAAGGACCAGGTAATTTCGCCAAATGTTATATAATTTTTCAGAGGAATTAAACAAAAAAACTAACAAAAGTATCCAAAGATATCAACACGATTAAGGGCCACACACACTGGAATTTGCAACCTTGTGGAGTCATTTCTTTGTTCTCGTGTACTAAAGTTATCGAGTTTGAAAGTGTAGTTTAAAAATGCTCTTATTTTAACCAGAATTAATTTCCTGGGCTGAAATTCAGACTTAATATCCCTTACATAAAATACTTCAATTTGCGACGGATCAACACACCTTGGAAATTCCTAGTTTTTGAGTAAAATCCATATATCTATTTCTTGATAACCTTGTGGAGACGTATTCACCTATAGAAATTGCCCTGTGGAGAATTATACAATCTTTTGTTCCCTATTGTTCCCTAGTGCACATGTCTCCCCAGGGTACCGTGTAACAGATCATGATGTGAAATAAAGCATAGTAATAGTAGCCAGCATTCGGTGCAAACAAATTTGAGATCAAAATTTCAGTATGCCAAATAACAGGGGCTGTGTTTTCCACATGTTAACCCCCCTCCTATGCAAACATACTCTGTGCAAAGTTGTCTTTTCAGTCAAAATCAGTCAAGTGACTGTTTTTAACAGTTTAGAGCTTCCAGCCTACATAAAGCAGGATTGACTGGCTGTGACTGTTTATGTTACATGACACAGCTATGCTTTGACTGTAGGTGATTGATAAGCCAGCTGTGCCTACCACTTGCCTGCTTTTGTCTGTTGACTGAATTTGACTAGTCACAGTGCTTGCTGGAAATATGATCTGACTGTTGGTGACTAGCCTGTGTAAAAGGCATGGCAGGGGAAGAGGATTGATTTTTAGACTGTCTGTGACTGTTCAGACAGCAGGAGGGTTAATCAGGCATGCAAGTTTTCCTCGGATCCACTGATTTCCTTGTTTCTTACTTCTCATGAATGCCATTACAAACTGAAAAACACTGTACAAAGTCTTGAGTGGTTTGGAATGTCCTCGTTTTTCCCTAAATTCCCAGTTGCATGCATGTTTTTGGAGGATTTGGACTTATTCTCCACGGTATAATAACAGTCGGGGTATTGGGATTACTTTCAATTTGACGCCATGCACAAAAAATGGCCCCACCTCCATTGTAAAAAAGATGGACGTATTCAAGACAATTTCCTGGTATTGTTCCAATGTTCCAAAGCCAAAGTGAAAATGATACATATTAATTCACATCCAGAAGAAAAAATATTCATGAAAACCCTAGAGGTGGCACCATCGACTGGAGTTCATAATCCACTTTTTGACGTTGCTTCTAATCGTCGTTTCCTTTTACAGATGACAGAGCAGCGCAAACAGAAGCAACGCATCAACCTCCTCAGTTCTCCCAGCATCCCCCAGATGGGCGGGCCCTGAATCCACTCCGTCTCCTAGCAGCCCTGTATCCTAGCAACCACTCATCCCGGCAACCACAACAGCAGCATCATTAAGCTAAGATTTCTCACTTTTTTTCAAGATGTAAACACAGGTGCTCCATATATTTCCTCTTCTTTTTTTCTCCCGTGTGAAGCAAATCCGTCCGAGACTCTGCTCTCCTGAGTGTCTTCTAAAAATGATGTTCTTTGCAGAAAGTGAGAATAGTTTTCTAGCTCAGGATTCAAAGACTATTTTAAACAGAGGTCGGAAAATTGTGTAATTGTAGCCAATTTTATGTCTGTCTCATGTTTGTAAGTGATAGCTAAGATATATATATATTTGATGCTATTTTTGTAGATTTTTCTAATAATATCAAGCTTTACCTTGCTATCATGTGACTACTAGTGGATTTAAAGGAATGATCGTTTGTAAGGTGTTATTCTTATTTTGCAAAGATTGTGTTTGTAGCTTAGAACGTCAACTGCTCCCAACCCAGATTCTTCAAAACTATTTGGGGATTTAGTAAGGTATTTCCCAGCTACTATTACTTTACAATGGACTAGTTCCTCTTTGAAAGTTATAGAATGAAAGAATGTAGGAGGATTGTTTGCACTGTGTCTGATGATGTTAAATTAGGGAATACATATGTGCTTGGCCGGTATTAACCCTTCCACGCCGGCTGACGGCTAAAGACGGCTATAGACGCAGCTCGATGAAAGCCAATAAGCCGGGGCACTGCTATAGCTGCATTCCTGCTGCATAGCCGCATTCCCGCTGCATAGCCACATTCATTCATAGACAATGGCCAAATGCCTGCACATTCCACTCAAAGTGCAGCTGTCCGCGGCCGAACAATACCAGCGTTAAGGGGTTAAACCAGCTAGGGGCCTGGTCACTGGCTCTTAGCCGGTTTTAAGCGTACTTGTTTAATACCACCCAAGCACATATTTATTCCCATTCATAAATACTTTTCGGTCAAAAAGTCAAAATAAGTCAAAATTCATACAAATTTCTACGATTTTGTTCAACAATTTTACTGCATGTTTTGTGAAACACCCCTCTGGCCATATATCTATGGTATGTGCCTCGCGCACGTAATGCTAAACATCTCCTTATATGCAAATTGGCACGCGCATACTGCACAATGTGGTGCAGAACGCAGCAGTGTTTTATCAGCAGTTTTTATGAACAGCATTTAAATTTCAATGGGCCTTGTGTAATAATTTCTTTATGTTTTGTAAGTAATAATTAATCTCGTGCCAGGGATGGTGACTGAATGTGACAGATCTGACATGGTATGGCTGCTATGCACCGCGACTGCTCTACCTTCCTTGATAACCAATTTCCCTCATTCACAAGTACCTTTTTTTACAACAAAGGCAGCACCTGTTTGTGTGATCTTGTTATGGTTTACATCTGAGGACTTGGGACAGTGTGTTACCTGCGATATCAATAACCCCGAGGACCGAGCCAAGTCCTCGGGAGGTTTTCATGTAGAAACCTTATGGGACATGTCCAGAAAAGTTGAAGTCCAAATAATAGGAACAAAAGAAGGGAACAATTAGGGTCCTCAGAAAAAATGATAAAAACACAACTGCGTGTGTGTAATTTTCCTCGGATCCGCTGATTTCCTCGTTTTTTACTTCTCATGAATGCCATTACAAATTGAAAAACACTGTACAAAGTCGTGTGTGGTCAGAAATTTCCTCGTTTTTTCTTAATTCCCAGTTGCATGCCTGAATGTCTCCAACGATGGATCCTTTCTGTCCATCAATCAGACGGTGACAACGTGCATTGACCAATTAGATCAGGATTTTTGGTCAGGTGATCATGATAGATGAATCAAATCTAGTAACAAGCACTGTGAGAAATTGATTAAAATTTTTCTCCCAAGAAAACAAGGTTGCTCACCCCTACCCCCGCCCAATCAATAAATATTTGCTTCGATTGAACTATTTTTATCAATGTTGATTAACTACAAGAAGTATAGCTTGTTTGTAGTCGTCACCTCGCGCAAACTTCCAATTATATTCATCCCTCCCGACACAGCAAGGCCGAGGTGTCAAAAGTCACTTGAAGGTTTTCCCGTCCAAACTCCTGGCGACCTTTCCTGAATTCACGTCAGGCCTTAGTTCCTTAACACATTTGTCCTGCTCCCCGGTGACGTTCGAATAATAAATACGGTTCAGTCAGGTTGGGCAGTTTGGCGGAGGTGTTAAACTGGCCATGGTGAGAAAGCCATCAGGTAACATCCAGTGCGTCACTACTCTGTTGTTCCCTGGGGGTGGGGGGGGGGGGAGGGGTGGGGAGGGAGAGAGATGGAGTCTTACACGTGTGAATGTGTCAAGCAATAATATTTTGGAGTTGTCGTCATTCCTGACTTAATAACGAACACACAGACAAGTGTTGATTGGAACTGCGATTTTGAGTGAGATCGCCAGTCAGGTGGTTTGACGTTTGAAATTAAGCATTGGGCTGGGTACAAGGCATGTGGCTTGGTTGGATAGCCATCCCCATTCTGTCCAGCCAACATCATTTTTTAAGCTCTGGCAGGAGCTTCTACATGTCACTTGGTGGTTGGTCGGTGTGTCAGTCGGTCTGTCTGTCTGCCCCAAAAAATTGACCAAAAATTGACCAAATGCCATACTGTGGTCATATAAATGCACTCTTGCCGAAAATTTTCAGAAGACCGGCTTTGTTTCGATCCATGTGCATGTGCGTCTATTTTGCAGATGAAGTGAGACTTTCCAAAACCAGGCCAGAGCTTAATATGCACTCGTGCTTGTTTCTATATTCCTGGCAGAAATTTGAAAGCTCAAGTGTCCCGAAAAATATCATACAGTATTGAAAATGTTGAATGCATTGCCTCAGGCTTTGGTTTGTCTAACATAGAGAGTCTCTAGTTGACTTCAGCACCTCAGCTGACCCACACCCCCCCCCCCTCCCCCTCTCTTGAAAAATGTGAGACTACTACAACTCAACTATTAGTAAAACTCTTGTATCGGCCACTAAGCTGTCTACATTTTTGGGGTCTAATAGAAGTGGTGTGCTTTTGACTTCAACGAATTTGACTATTGAAGGAAATTGATGTGAAAATGGTGGCTGTGATTGTAGCTGTGGCTTGTTTCCAAAGGTTTCTTCATGGCGTAAAGAATTCTTGGTTTCATGACCAGAAATTAATTACAATGATAATAATCGGGGGGGGGGGGGCCGCCCCCCCCCCCCCCCCCCCCCCGAAAATGAAAGGAAAAAGAGGTGCAAAGCCATATAGCTGTTAATTTGATGGGGGAGGGCAAATGGTCCCCTGCTCACGCTCGAAAAAATGAAAAATTGAGAATATAATGAAAAAGTTAAGGAATTTTTGGGGGAAATTGCTTTGCCCCCCCCCCCGGAAAACATCCTGGCAACGCCCATGATAATAATTACAACCTCGATGCATATTTGGAGAAAGAATGCAAAACCATTGGCTTCATCATAAGCTAGAATGGTCACATTTTCCAACAACAGTTGCCACAGAACTCCAGCAACTTGTCATGACATAACATTCAAACAGCTATAGAGCTGGAAGACTGTCCAATTCCAACAAGTTTCTTTGAGTTCTGTATAGCGATATCAAATTTCTCAGTTTTGTTTTTACAATTTACCTCTATTCTACTTGTTTTTGTCTTTTGCAAATTCTTAATCAGAGTTGCAATTAATGATGGAACACTCACTGGCCATGTTTTCCTCCGATTTGCCGACTCCCAAGGTGGGGCTGTCATCTCGAGTTTCTATTTTCAGTCATTCGGCAGTCTGCCAAGGAAAGCGTTCATCAGACGGTGCGAATACAATTATTATTTAAAGGGTAGCGGTTTGTGGTTACCATTTCAAGCACAATTGCACATCGATCCAGGGGAGAGACTACAATACATAATGCATTTGCCAGGCATGTCACCCGCTCTTGTTTTGACGTAGACAATTTGTTTGACGTCCCTGGAGAGTTTTTATGTTTTTATTTTATTATTATTATTTTTTTTTTTTAGGTTTTCATTGCTAAGTTCTGATGATCACAATTTCAGGCTCATAATGGCAGATTGCCGGCCTTCACGCTTCAGTCAAAACAGATTGTATTAAAAGCAGGAAAGCTGGAAAATATGAGTCAATTCAAGCAGCGTTGTACATGGCCATAACCAGTCTGGCATGAAAATATTAAAAATAAATAAATAAATAATACTTCGGCAGTCACAAGAAATGGTTGAGTTTAGAGCAAGAACTTCCAAGTGTGCCTGTATTTACATTAAAAAAAAAACATGAAGAAGATCAAGCCTAACAAAAAAGAAGCTAAAGAAGCAGAGAGAAAGAAATTTAACGCAAAACTACGACACACAAGTTGAATGTATTCACAGAGCAAGACAGTGGAATTTGCAGAACCCTGGATACCAGGGGTCCCAACTACCCCAGCTTAGCTATGCTGCCTGTATCAGGCTACCTATTACTGACCCATATACCTACATTATCAAGCCTTTCTTGATTTGTCTCTAAGCTCATTGGTTAGTCACACTATCTCGCACTTTTAGCTCAAGGATTTCCAACACGTCGCTTCAATTTTCACGTCCCATTTTTCCTGACGTTCAGCCGATTAAACGGAGAAGGGGGTTTTAGGAGGAGCACATGTGGTTTTCAGAAACGGTTGTTGCATTGAGCATCAGAGGGTTTTATTTTTTGGTTCAGGGAAAAAAATAATCACTGACACCTGTCATGAACATGTACTTTTTTAGCAGCTAATACATGATGCTTTCTCACAGCAGTGAGCCTGCTATGCTTACAAAATTTAAACTCGGTTTAAGGACTAAAGCTGATATTTAAACTCACGTATTGCGTCACTTTCACTCTGTGGAAGCAAGCATTTCAAATGCCTTTGTGAGAAAAAAAAATATGTTACACGAAAATTTGTATGGTGGTGACTGATTTTGGACTTACAAATTTGGAGTTTAGTACTGATGCCCGGTTTTATTGAAACCTGGAAAGAAGAAAAAAAATCACCAAAACATCAGAATTTTTGTATAATTTTTGGTTGACTGTTAGGATCAAAGTGGTGCTTTAATACCACTGCAAGCCACTTTGGAACCCTGCTTAACAGTTTGCAGAAACGTTGTTTCTTTTCTGAGCGTCTATGCTTACAGTCTCCATGGAATGGATGGAGGCTGATATCAGATGATTGTGCGCTTAAGAGCGTCATCAAATTGGGCTGCGGTTTCCTGAAATTGAAGCAAGGTCCATCCGTGAAAGTGCAGAAGGGAAAGTGGTGCATTAATAGCAATCCTTGGTTGGTAATGGTGGGTTGCAAAAGTGCACGCCACTTAATACATTTCAGATTTATAGGCACGTTGGGACACAAAATCCAGACGGTTTTGGGTGACCACAAATTAGGATTGCTTTCTGGTTTGAGCTTGGCCATTTTCCTTTCCAGAAATAAAAGTACACATTTGGAATTCTAGACAGTTTCTTGAGTGTCTGTGTGACGCACTCAACTGTAAGCTGATCAGTTGTTGACCGTGGGGAGACAGGGTGCCATACCACTCACCGTTGCATCTCATGATTAAGGAGAATGGTGTGGTCCTTGTAGATGTAGTCAGGGTTCCTCATATTTGCGAAGGGGAATAAAATCAAGCCCAGTGCTTATTTCTTTAAGCTGGTTATTCTTGCATTGTAATGTGACAGTTGCTATACCAAGACATTGGCACTCGTGTACATAATTTTGTTTAAGTTGATGTATCTAATTTTTG